AACAGGTGCTTTGTGTGAGGTAATATCAGCATCATGGGTGAGATCTAAAAAGGCATTTTTTCCTAACTATATATTTGAGCATTAAACCACAACAATGTATGTTATTTCTTACCTAACACATGCATCCATTATAGCGCTGGCCACTCTTCCGTTGTGTACCCCCTCTCTCGCCGAACAGTAGCTGGGATCGGATCCAACACCCCTTGAATTGGATCAAGAAAGTCTAGAAAATGGATGCATTGAGGAGGAGAGCATTGATCAGGCTCACAGGGGGATGGATTGTTTAGAAAAAGAACAACAGCAAACACGCAGAGCAAACATCACCCTCGCCGTCTGTTGCCTGGGTAAACTAGTTGTGCACCAAATCCTTGTTTTTTTCTGCTATGTGTGTTTGAGGAGATAAGACGTTTAAACTGTATTCCCAGGAGTTGTCATCATCACGAGTCAACAAGTGCTCAGTGTTTTGAGTGACTAAGGCCTGCAGGAAACTTAAAAACACCCCCAGCAGACTTGACTTGACTGGATAGTGTTTGTGGTGCAGTCATAAGACTTGAGACAGAGACTGACCCGTTCCTAGATCTGCCCCTTTGGGTGTTTGCTCATACAGACCAGAATGACTGTAGTTACAGTTTTGAGGAGTGTGTGATGGTACCTGCAGGTGACATCTCTGAGGTGATGCTTTTTTTGAATCTGCGTCTAATGCACTTGTTTAAACGCATGGACTTGTTTGAGATCTTAGCGTTAAAGACATTTTGCATGTTTGACGGCTCTTTAGAAAAAACACGTGAAAGTGTTTTCAGTATGTTTGCGACATTGCTGTGTAAGCCCTGGTAATTCTGGTCATTTGCTAATGCCGTGTTTTCATAGTCACCTGCTTGTATATGATCAATCAAATGCTTTAATGTTAAATCTGGGTCAAGGTTAGCGTATGAATCAGACATGCTTGGTTATGCATAGGTCTTCAGGAGGTGAATACAAATCTGTCTAATGACCTTTAATGTGTGAAACTATTATTTTTTTCTCTGTGTAATTGGATGGGAAACAGTGAGAGACTCATCAACCGAGAGGTGAAGTCACATGTTCGATAGTGTGAAAGTGTGTCTAATATGTTTGGCTAATGGAAACGTCTGTGGGGCTGAATGAGAGAAGGGAGAGACGGAAAAAGGAGAGGGCAAGAATGGGAGATAGTGTGAAATAAATCCAATAAGCTCTTCTGTCATGCTGGTCTCTTGAGCATTTCTAAGATGCAATGAATGAAATAAATAAGAGATACTTCTGCTTTTCTATCTTGCTCTCCTCAGTATGCTGCAGCGCTCGGCTGTCATTTACTCCGGCCTCCATTTTACCCACCAACCCCTGCAGCTGGCTTATTTTCCTAGTTAATCACCCACAGAAACAACCAATGGACAGTTCGAGGCTATTAGGTTGTGTTTCTATAAATTTTGCAGTATATGTTAGCATCTGCTGTTAATTGTAAACTTTGCTTTAATTTGAACCCGACTATTTCCTTCATGGCTGAGGGCTATTGAGTGATGACAAAACAGTGTGTTCCCATAAATCTTTTTGTATTTTCACTTTTAAGAATTGTGAATTAGTTTATTCTACAGGTAAACCTGTATAAAATAGTTTTATGCCACCTGAAAACATCGTGCCGTTACAGCAGGTATCGCTGTGAAACCAAAATCCCCAAAAGTGATTCAGAAAATGCCAGCCCAGTGTCCAAGCAAGTATGCAGCCATATGTTTGGTAACGACAGTTATGTCAAATTTTCAGCAGAAGGAGCTCTGTGTCTCTGCCACATTTACAAGGACTCTTCAGATTGTATGAAATAAAAAAATCAAACCTAATCTTTGTCGATTAAACTGTTAAAAGATCTGCACCTTGCAAAACTATTCTTACAGGGGCATGAACCTTTAATTAATGCTTCTGCTGGGTTTGTCACATTCTAAACCATGCCACCATAAAGTGCCAGCATGTGAAGTCCCAAACAGTGTACAGTAAACGAATTGCTTCGGTATGACTTTCATTCCCTTCCTAGCTTTGTTACGGTCAAATATGCTGGAAGCTAATGCTCAGCCATTATTCAAAGGTGTCCTTAAAGGTTTTCTTCACTTGTGGAATAACCACAATTAGCCAACCCAAAATAACATTTTGATTTTTCCAATCATTTATTATCTTATGTCCAACAACATCACAATACAGACTTTGCTATCGCGAACTATCTCACAAAACACATTCTTACACTTGTTTTGCAATGTTACTGCAGTTCTCTGAAAACTGAAATAAAAGTATTCTTAAAAAAACAAATGTTGTTAAGCATGTACGTCCTGGTAAAATCAAACTGAAGGAAAAAGAAAAGGCATTAATCGATTTAATGTGTCAAATTTAGCATCTTGTAGCTTTGGAGAGGGAAAAATTGAGAAATGCAAAGGAAAGCAAAATGGGTCGAATCCAACCAAGAAAAAAAAAACCCATCGAGAATTATAAAGGTCAAAAGAAAAGAAAATTAGGAAAGACAATGAGGAAGCTGAGGGTGAGATGGAAAAGGGGAAGTAGGAGAGAAAAAGGTCAAAACAAAAAATAAAATGACAGATTGAAAGCTGCGATCAGAGAAAAAGGTTAAAAAGAAAGAGGGAGGACAGATAACACATAGGCACACACCATCCACCTGCGGATCTTGAGCAGTAGATCATTAAATGGGTATTCTAATCGTTTTCTGACTGTATCCTATTGCACTCATACATATACCTTATAACAACTAAACACATCAGTTTCACTTTAAATAAACACAACCGTGGACGTGGAAGACTCTTACTCCTATGCACTCAAAAGGAATTTATATATGTACAAATAAAGCAGAGGATGGTCTTTTTTATTATATTCAGAAACTACGTAGAATATCATAACTATGCAATGTAAATAATATCTATCAATATTCAATAAACACTTAATATAGAGTAAATCCATATAACATGGAACAAGATATGTGAGAACAAGATTATCACATGCATGCATAGTATAATTTCCTTATAATCCTGTAGTGTGACTTTCAACACAAAACAGAACCATGTACTGACTGACGATTCTAAAGGTAGTTGTGCATCGGGTTTCACTACATGTTATCTTTCCTAACAGTTTCTGTTTTGTCAGGTGATACAGAGACCTTCTTTCTCAGAGAGAATGAATTTCATACAGGGTTAAAGATAGAAATCCACGATAGTCACTCATCCAGTACTTAACATAATCTGGTAACAGGCATTCACATCGACACACTCATTCATTAACCCAGTCAAACACACAGTACTGTTGGATTTTCCTTGGTCTACGGTTCTCAGCATGAATTAATACCAGGAGATATTTACGCCCTTTATCAAAACGTCATGCTGCTGTGTGCTAAAAAAAAAAAAAAAAAAGGTCAATTTTCATATTTTCCATCATACGACATCCATGCCAAACAACTGCTGAGTAAAACGTCCCAAAGGTGAAAGACTTAGGAAGAGTTTTGTGTATTTACATATGTGCACAGTACAGACGTGCTCCCTGTATGGTGTACACGAGAGTGCTCTTAGCTCTGATGTAAAAAGAGGGGGAAAACTTAGGCCTCAGTGATGGACCTACAGTGTGCGTCTTGTGTGCCTCCAGGAGTGAACATTTCACAGTCATTGTACGCCATGTTCCGCTTCACCTAATAATTCCAACCCTCAGTCATGGATCAGTCTGTACGGGTCTGCGTGCGTATGCACACTGACATTATGGTCAATATAATATGGTTTGAAGCTGAAAGCCAGCTGGATTTGAAATGATTGGTTTAATTCAGCCGAGCTTTACATGCTCACTCAGTGGTATGCTCTCACGCAGGACAATTGGCAGCGCATTCATACATTTGCGGGCACAGCTGAAACGTACACATCTTAAATTGGCGGAAAGAAATGAAAGATAAAGGATTGAGAATTGCAGCTACGCTGCGCTTATTGCTGTTTGTCAAACTACCCGTTTGGGGGTTGTCAGAGCAGCCCAGGGTTGTCCATGTGTGTGTGGCTGAATTTGAGTGTGTTGCATGTGGGAGGTCTTCTGCCGACTGCTGCACGCTAGTTTGGGAAAAGAGACGTACAAAAGCCAAATTCAGGGGCAAGGTAACAGAGAAGGGAGGAAACAACCCTTGGTAAGGCAGTGACGTTTGCTCATTAGACATTTTCCTGTCACGTCCTGTCAAGTTCCTGACTGGACTGTGCGACTCAGGCCTGTTGAAACAACAATAATACAGACGCGTGTGTGTATGTGTGCCGTTATGTTGTGAGCGTCAAGCTGACCCAGGCCTCCACGCTGCTGATACCACTAAACGCAGATATGGATGCCGGTGTCTTCAGGTAGTCATAAAGTTTTACTCCTATACATTTTTACAAAGACAATAGAATATATAAAACTTTACACGGCAACAGTAGCATAATGACATGGCAGTTATATCATAAGAACACTTGCTAACCTAAGTCATTGTACTTTGAAGCTCTTAGTTCCGTTTGGCAACAGTTGGACAGGGTAAACTCCAGGAAAATCGCAGCTCAGTGCTAGAAATGGTTGCTTTACCCATTTAGAGTTATTTATGTGGAATAGCAAAAGAGAAAGTATTGTGCTGTGCTTAAGAATCCTAAAAATGCCTAAGAGACCTGTTGCGGGATCTGAACAGACTAATACCTCAAACATAGAAGCAGGTCAAATTTGATTACCATAAGTGATTTGAAAAGTTGACATCCGAACCTGACTCATCTGATTTGGTTTATTTACATCCTTGCAGCAAATCTATCGCATCACAAGTGCTCTTTACTCAGAATACTCTAAGCAAACTCACACATTTGAAAACCTCAATTGATTTGGTTTGCGGTAATTTAACGGCACCTCGTTTGGGCTTAAGTGTTAAACAAGCTAAGATTTGGTCTAAAAAATGAAAAAGAAAAAGAACACACACAAAACTGGTGTAGCACTAGTTCTAGTCCATTGGCATTCTAAACTCCAGGAGCCACATATTCAGGGTTGGTGTAGGAGAAGCCGAGGAACTCGTCTTGGTCCAAGTTCATGATGACAAGCTTGTCTGTTGGTGTTAAGTCCACGGGCATTTTGGTGAACTCCTTGTCGAAGTTACAGGTGTCACGGCGGTTTTTCTGCAAGGGGAGTTGAGATTTTATGAAGGGGAGAGGGAGTGATGGGAGGGAAGGAAGATAAGAAGTTATTGGAGGAGAGTGCTATGAATTGTGGGGGAGAAAAAAAATAGCATTGCTGTTAAACACCTTACAGTGGATTATCAACCTAAGCCACAAACATTTTTCATACAGTATCAAAATGCCGGGAATGTGGCCAACAGCACAGCACTGAACCTCAGCACATTAAGCCTTTCACTCCAAAGCTTCTAGTATTATTTCCTCTAACATATTGCCCCAAAATACAATCTTCTCAGATAGGTCTTACCATCCAAAGACATGTGTAACTTCTTCTATCTCAACCCCCCCCCCCCAAAAAAAAAAACAGTCACTTTTTACTGCTGAATTGTGATTAGCAAACTTGAAAAGAAAAGCAGAAGCTTGGACACAGTAAGATTGCCGACAATTGTTGAGAGAGAGAGAGATAGAGAAAAAGCTTCAAGATTTAAAAAGAAAAATGAAAAGGAAAAATTCCTAAAGCTTTGTTTGCCTTCTGTGCACCAAATGTTTTTTACAGTTTGCACAGAAAGAACAAACAAACCAACAAAACCAACAAAAAAACAGAACAGCATTCTCTGTCAGGATCCGTTTGCAGCAAAAATCAACAAACAAAGCACAAAGTAGTTTTTTAGTGTATAAGATTCAATTATGCATTTGCCATTTTTGGTAATGTTGTTAGGTGGTGCATTCATTATTGTCCCATAAATGTTACTTTAGGCATTTCTGCATAGATACTATTAAAAAAAGACATTGGGTAAAAATGAAATTAGAAAGAATATGGAACATTTTGAAAAAAAACAATTATTGTGACTAGTCCGAAACTCATCCTCGACCAGTCTGACCTCACACTGGCCATGTCCTAATTCTTCCTGTTGGTCCAACCACTCTGCCTTTCAACTTAATTTCCCTGGCATTGGTAGTGTTTCATTTTGGTAAAGGGTCCAAATGAAAAATGCTCCTTGATTCTACTTATTAAGAGAAACCATTAGCTTGTTTCCTTAGTTTTGGAGGTGAGGGAAGCAAAGGTTGGCTTTAGGTCTGGACCTCCAGCTTCAGCTTAGAGAAGAAGAGTATAAATCAGATGCAAAGGTGTGACAAAGAGCTGCAAGCATGGCAGATATGAAACGGCCATCTTAACAATAATTTGCATCTCTCATAAGCCACAATGTGTGGGACAAGTGGATTTATGCACTCTATCAATTGGTAAAATACTTAGAAATACACCTGACTTTCTCCACTCTGACCTCTACCAAACATTATCTGTCTATCTATAACATGATTTTTTATTTTTTTTATTATTATTAATCTGTGGTACCAGCACCTTGTTTCAACACGTTTCACCTTCTTAAAAACAGTTTAAAAAAAAAAGGATGACTTTGGAATGTGTATATCGAAAAAACAACAGTGTCTGCTGTCAGTGACTGAAATAACCACAGCTGCTGGGTGATGCCACTGATGCCAAAGGATGTCAAAGAAGATTTGGGGGTTTCACAAAACAATTTTGACGCCTTGGGATACGAAACTAGTAGTTCTTTCCTGTGATTTGTTGCACCGTTGGCAGTCAAGTTTGAAAAAATAGACCTAGAGATAATAAGTATTCTGGGAAAGAATTAAGAACAACAAAGATGGCACCAGGCGACCAGTGACATTACAGTTTTTAAACCAAGAGACAATTTGTGAGGAAGAAAAATTCAACATCACGTCGAAAGAGAGGCAGAGGCATGAGAGAAAGGTGCAAAGCAACACAGCATTAATAAGGAGGAGAAGGGTCACAAACTTGAGGGAGCGGAGGAAAATACACTGGGACTTAGCGTGGGAGGTGAGGGGTGTCTGTGTGTATCGCTGAGGCGTTCCTCTGGGGCAGGAAATTGTCACTGTACGGCTCGGCTCAGTGTGTGTGAGGAGGAGAGAAAGGAGTGAACAGGCTGTTCTAGATGGAGGCGTACATCGGGGAATGGGGGAGGGGCACGATAGCTCAGACGCCTTGAAAAGCGCGAGGGTGCCTTTATAAATCACAAACACATACAGAGGCTGTGTTATTAACAGGAACAACTCCTCCACGATGTGTTTTACTGGAGCCCCACACGAACAGAAGTTTGACACCATCCACAAAGTGAAAGGTGAAAATCGCATCCAAACACTAAAGAGAACTCCAGGAGCCTTAACTCAGCTCAGGGGGGCTTCATGCAAAAATTCAGAGTCCTTTCATCTGCTATGCTTTAAATCTCTTCTGTGTTCATTCCATCATAGTGTATACAACATGTGAGGTGTCAACATATGATTGAGATTTTGGACATAGAACATGTTTTTGTTAGATCTTCTCAAATGTGATCAATTCCGTTTTCCCATAAAAAATGTCACAATCACAAAGAAAAAGAAAAATTTCCAAAGGAAATGTGTGCATAATGCTATTGATAAATGGCAGATTTCAGTCAAACAGGCCTGTTTTACGTTATCACTCTGAGGAGGTTTCTGATAAAATAGAAAATGTCAGTGGCAATCATTTTAGGATGGGATTAATCAACAAGAAGTTTTGCGGCTAAAGTTGGCGGTGCACTTTTAAACATGAAACATTCTTCAGTCTCGATATCGTGAGCTCAACGCGTAAGAACGTCAGAGGTGCAACACAGACGACACAAAAGAGGGAAAGGATGAAGCAGAATCAAGTGGCCACGTCAATCCTCACGTCACAGGAAAGCAGCGGTAACAGAGAAATCCTCACAAAACGCAATGTTCACATCCATAAGCACTGTGGAACCAGACATTAGGGGAATCCAGCGATTTCCCCACAACATCCACATCCAGAAAAGCCCAGAGTCTACACAACCAGAGGGACAGAGAGGGACAGGAGAGCTTTGAACGGCGAGGCAATATTGCATCTCCTACCTTAAGCTGCCAACTTTCCCAGGGCCTAAGAGGAGCTTTCTTCATCCATAGCTGGCCCAGATCCACCTCACATACCTGGTCATGATATCCACAGGAGTGCCTCCTCTCAGGAGCCTGCACTCCTGGCAACAACACTCATGGTATAACTTACATAACATTCCATAACAAAAAAAAAAAGAAAGAAAAAGAAGTGTTTTTTATCAAATTTGGTTTAGTCTAAAAAAACAACAACCTTTCAGTTTATAGTTTACACACTGCGGGGCGGTCAAACATTAGCACATCATCAGAGATGAAGACAAATCCAACTGGAATACCCAATATATGGTCCAACTTGTTTAAAATGAAACACAAGATGTTGAAAATGTCTTGTGCGGATTAAGTGAAAGACTAAAATACTGTTGGGCTTTTGTTAAAGGCACAAAGTGGGGGAAAAGGGTGGTGCTCTCCGCTTGCTTCATTATCTTTGCACAGTAGTTCTGCTTCACTGGAGTGACATAGAATACCGAAATCTAGGCTTAGTTGAATTTTTTCAACAAATCGTTGACCTGAAATAGTCATGAGGTTTAGTTCCAGCCTTCTACTACTCAATTCCTGTATCCTGTACGGTACTGGTCCAATAGAGGCTGAAAGGACACAGGAAAATGGAGAGGGGATGGATGGAGAAGTTGAGTGCTGACATCCAAGCAGGACCAACCCATCTCCTGTTCATAACATGGCAACATGACACAGCCGTCACTTCCTGCTCAAAGTTACACCATGACATTTCTTGGATTTTTTTCGAAAATCATCATGACAAGGACTAAGACGGGGACGCTTCAGGAACAATGTCTCCTCCACCCTAGGTCTCACATGCTCCTCCTGGTTAAGAGTGTGGCCAAAAAGATAAAAATACTTGAACGATGGGAATCCAACCCCATCACAAAAGCCATGTTGTCTGCCCTCTCACTAGCTGTTCTGCCTCACAAATCTGTAGGATTCGATACCTTCCTCAAACCCACCGTTAGCTTCTGAGAAGTAAGGGAGAAAAAAAAAACTGTGAACGGAGCAGATATTGTCTTTTTGTTGGGAAGGAGCAAAAGTACCAGGGGAGACGATAAATTTCAAGTTATATGGTTCAACTCATTTAAAAAGCAACTCCAACTGTGTTCTGTTCTTACTCAATAGAACACAATATGCCAGAAATTTGCAGAAGATTTGGGTTTTCTAATTGAAATGTTCGAGCTCAATATAAGTTTAAGATCATGCTTTACGAGCCAACTTATCTCAAGCTACATGTTGAAACATTTAACGCCGTATTCTCAACACATTCAGGTAATATTTAGTCAGAGGATTTGTGTCCTAATTAAAACCTTAGGATTGAAAGTCGGTGTACTTTTTTTCTTTTTTCTCCACGTGGTTGTTCTGTGCACTCAGTGCAATCTATCAAACTCGTTCCGAATTCTGACACCGGATCATCATTCTTAACATATGGGTATTCTACCCATCGTGTCTATTTTAGAAGACTAATAGCTTAGCTATATTATCGAGCATGCACATGCAAAATCACACGAACACACTGCTGCCAGCCATGTAAGCCAGATCGTAATGTGTCCCATCTCAGCACGCTTCAGTTGTTAATGCTGCGAGGCACACAGACAGAGACATAGAGGGGGAAAAAAATAAGAAAAAAAAAAAACTGGAGGAGATGCAGCATACGACAGGCGGTGAGATAAATATCAGTGGCCCTCGGTGTAGATGCATAGATAAAGAACTCAGAATAAACAGATGCACTGGGGCAAACACAATTAGTTTTCTAATCACTGTGCTCCAGAGCTGGTTGCTTTAATGGAGAAACATGACTCCTGATCTTCAATTTTAATCTCTTCCTCTTAACACCTCCCTTCCTTCTCCTCCTCTTCCTCTTCACCACCCTACCTCTCTCTCAACCCATCTCTTTTCGGTGAGGAGGGGATTAGAGGGAGACGAGCCCATGTCAGCTGAGGATGTGGGGAGAGTGGGAGGCACTGAGGAACGGGGAGGCGAGGAGGAGAGGAGGGTGAATGAAAGGCGGGATCGAACGTTGACCTGTTTTGGGCTGATAAGCGCCGGCTGCTTTGTGCTGAAGCCATTGGCTTTAATTTGGGGGCTGCAACATTTGGAATTAATTATCACACGCACTCCAGCAGTGCCGCAGCTTACTGTGTACGCTGGCTATTACAGCCACTCCAGTACAAACTTTACACAGCTTATGCACTGGAACTTACTGGTACTGAGGGGTCTGAATTGCCTCATAACAAATTTGCATAAAATACAGCTGCATTATAATGTGAATATACAGTTAAAGAGGAGAGTGGGATATGTGCTCTGTTTGAGTTAGACAGCAACAGGAGGACATTATTCCTCCAACACTGAAAACACATGTACACCAACAACAGAATTTGGTAATAAGTGACCATGAAATGAAGTAATGCGAGGCCCGGACATGCTGATCCACCTCTGCTGCAGGCTATTTACTACAAATGATCATCAAACATGTGCCATAAGGTCACCATAAAAAAGGCTGGACCGATAGGTTTGCCTTCTACTTCAATCTTAGTACGAATTGAAACCAGATCGTGGAGCCTTTTCTGATTAAGCACAGTACAACATTCACTAACAGAACAGCTAATTTAGCCGTTTAAATAGCTGACTTTGAAAATGCAAACAAAATATTAGCATTGAGTAAGCAGGAGAAGCTTTTGGAGTCCCCATGGCCTCTCAGTAAAATCTCCTTCATACATCTTAGTATCTGGTGACAACCTAATCAAATTGTTTCCGTCAATGTCATCTGACAGCCTGTGTCCCGTTTTGTTTGCATGTCATGGTCTGCTTGGCATGTTAAGTAGCAGAACTAGGTCTCTTTAACTGATGGTCACACGCTGCTTAATGACAACAGTTTGCAGGAAATCATTAGAATCCAAGATTAGAACTCAATTCAGTTCATTGGAATGTGTAATTGCTTTATATATCAACAGTGTTATGGTGTACAGCTCTCTCTGGATCTTTCAGAGGCCTAAAAAAAGATGCTGTATGGCCTGATATCCATTCAACAATGGCCACTGTTCAGTTATCAAGTGAGTTCTGTACATCCCCCCCACTTTGCATGACTAACCTTAAGCCATGCACTAACATCTCATTTCCACACCTTATCTTGTAGTCATGCAGAAATATTCTTTCTGTCAGCGGACAGTCTTCATAGGGTTTTCTGGCTTTCAGAGTTCATGCAGCGAGTCCGGAGCAAAAACAGAGAATAACATTCTGCCATGCACAAATTATCTGAGAACAGAAAAATGTAATGTGTCAATTGATAGTCTTCATCAGTTCGACCCGAAGCATTCCATCATATTTGGAGGAGCTGCTCCCTATTGTTTTCTGTGTTTATGCAAACCAAGCCCACTTGTGCCTCCAGCTTCATATTTAATTCACAGATAGCAGAGTGGAATTTATCTTCTTTTCTGACTCTCAGGAAGAACTTCCATGGCATTTCCTGAAAAGCCAAACCATTAACCTGAACAGGAATCATTTATCACTTCAGAAGAAAAAAATATTATTGCCGTTTACACGCAGGAGACAAAAATAAAATAAAAACATGGATTAGTTGCAGACTGGATGGTAAATGTGCCTGTATAAACCAGGTTAAATGCATGAGCTAAAATTATAATGTTAATAATTTAAGAGCAGATGTTGAGATCCAAATGTTGAAAAGGAGGAAGCCTTTGATAGATCTGAAGGACTAGAGGAGTAAAATAAATAAAAGCACCAAGGTGAAAACCCTGCCTTAAAAAGATCTCTGGTCTGGTGTAGAGGAAAAGCGTTCTTGTATTTTCCATTATAAATGACCAAACATTGACAGGAAAACACAGGTGAAAACCTTGGCCACTGCTTTCATTTAACACTTCTTTGTTGGGCAAGTTCCTGAATTTCTAAAATCTAAAGTTTAATTTGCCGTTTAACCTAATGGGTGTTTCAACCCCCCCTCTCTTTGCACTAATTTATTGGATGTTGAACCTCACTGGCTTCAGAAGCATTTCCTTTCTAAAAGAAAAAACGAAATTCCTCATTACATTGTGCCATGGCTCAGTCACTGCCGCTGCGTGTAACGTGTGTCTGGACTTGTTAACGCTGTAATGTGCGAGGGCTAGTAAATGGTGCAAGATACAGTTATTAAAAGTAAGCGTGCAGCCAGTCAGAGCAGCGGCTTGTGTAGTGGATTACTGGTAGTTTTAGAGGCGGTGAGAGGAGACCAAGTGGCTCAGCGGGGCTGTGTGGATGTAGACCGTGTTCTGCATGTTATTTCCTTGAAGTCATCAGACCTACGCTCTCCCATCATGGAAAGGCTCTTATGATAAGTGGCAGCCATGAAATATGCACAGCCTGTGCAAGCTGCCTGCTTCGCTTCAGAGCCTCCCTTCCTTGTCCCCTCTCTCTATCTTCCCTCCTCACCACTATCCCCTTTTTAATACGCAATTCTCCTCTTTCTACCTGCAAATCACTTTCCTCTTCTTCTCCTTTAGACATGATTCTGATTCATCTATCTGCCAAAAACTCCCAAAACAAAACCATGTTTACAGTAGTCTATCGCGGAAAAAATGATTTCCTTTATTTCTTGTCTTATTTGCTTTCTGTTCTTTTATCATCAAATCTGCTTGTTATGCAAGAACTGAGGCAGTGTGTGTTTGTGTGAAGAGGAAATGAGCAGTTGGACAACCAGCCACAGCCAGTAGCCATCTACCCAAAAACATTAAAGCGCACACAGTAAACATGAAACATAGTAAAAAATCATGTGGCACATAGTTTAAATAGTTTATTTAAGGAATGGCTGCTATGTCTGTTCAAAAATTAGCAAAAAACGAGAAAAAAAAGAGAAAAAGGAATTTGGCACACGGAAAGCACTGTAAAACGCCTTCTTTTCTGGATAGGTATTTTCAGACAGAGAGCACATAACGGTAGCTTAGACCTCACGTTTGAAGCACTGCTGATACAGAACACCATGGATCACCCAAACATTTTAAAAGTATATCAATCCTAACCAAGAGGATGGTAGACAAAAACTTGTATTTCATGCAGTTATTTTTCTTCCCTTCAGCAGGAAAGAAATGTAAAAAGAAACACACCAAACCTTTCACTTCCCCTCATTTACAAAACCACATGTATGTATATGTGTGTTTATTTATAATATATATATATATATATATCTCAACACAGTGAAACACTCTGAGACAGTCATATATCTATATATAAGTTTACATTATGTGTGTTTTTGCCTTTAGAATTACAGGATATCTTTGAATGACTCATAATGGAGAAACATTACAAACAAAGGACGCAGGATTAGAATTATCAAGTTTTTGTCTCCTCCACAATAAACACTGCTGGACTACTCTTCATTCTGAATTCCACATTTTAAGTTTTAAGTAAAAAAATAAGGAGCTCCAACATGACCAGCCTTATTAAGATTGTAATTGTGAGTTACTTTCCATCCATGAACTCATTTAAAACAATGGCCTCTACCCCACCAATGCAGCACTTCATGATTTTTATGGCAGTTATCCTGATCTGTACAAGAATGAAATGGGTTATTCTGACTCTCCAGTTTTCTACCATAGTTATTTATTTGGCTCGGGTCTAATCCTGCATATAGTAAGAAAAAAGGGGCGGGGAATGACTAACTCATGCGACTTGATTTTTGACTGCTTCTAATAATTTCTCATGAATCTGACCATCGCTGACAATGAAAAAAGAAAAAGCTAAATATAATTTTGCAAAATGTGCGAATGAGAGCAGCTTTATTGGGAATTTGGCAGGATTAACTTCCAGTCACATTTACTTTGCTTTTTTCTCCAATGGGATACAAAAAAAGGAACTTTTTGGTCTGCCTGACACAATTATTAGCTTTTTCCAACTGCCAGGTGGAACAAACTCACGATGCAACTTCCTAAAGGCCCTGGGTGTCACAATCCAACACAGAGTGCACCAGGACCAAACTGAGATCAGATCAGGCATCACATATTTGTTTTCTCACTTCATTTGTCTTAGATGCCAATGCCAACAAAACGGAGGACCCTGAAATAACCAGAAATGTTTTAAATCTGCCCATACTTTGCACTTTAAGTAAAACCCTTTTTTACCTTGCAGTTTTGTCTCATGAGATAATGATGAGTTTAATCAGTTCACATCTTCCAAACTGCGTCAGGCTGTGGAAAAAGGCGAGTCAACTAACACCTCTCTGCAATCCCTTTCATCTCATAAGCATCTGTGGCCAGATCAGCAGATCAGAGTTAAATGGTACAATGTTAAGGTACAACGTATGAGCTCGTAAGACTACAATGTTGAGGGAAAATGCTGCTTTTAGGGGTTGTGCTGTGAAAGAAGGTGATCTCATGAAAAGCCAAGGTATAGAAGCTAGGACATCTGAAAACCGCTGACACTGTTAGAATATAAACACAAAGTCAGGTAAGATATTGGGAAAGGTAACGTGGATGCAAACATACATACAAAAAATACAAAAAATAAAAAGCAACTGAGCGTTTTCATACATGCATTTAAAACATACATGAGTACATGCACGCACACACTGTAAACTGCTTTGTAAAGTATAAAGAAATGCTTTTTCTTGACTGAAAACAGAAATCAGATCAGAGTAAAAGAAAGAGTATTATCCTTTTCAACTGACTCCAAACCTTGAGAGACACTATATTTCCCAAAAGCGTTTAAACACCATGATGCAAGTGATGGACAGCTAACGCATGTACTAAAAATGACATATTTGTGGCTGATTTCACTAGATTAGGCTTATTGGTGTAAATGATACTCAGTAAGATATCAAAATACAGTTGGGAGAGAAAACCGAGATATATTCTTGATATAGAAACTCATGCATGTAAGTAAAACATTCCAGTTTTAGCTAAGGTAAGGATACAGACACAATTATAAGTATACAATCATTTAAAAAAGCACATTTAAGTAATTGGCCTAATCAAAATGCGCTGAGGTGAGTGAAAGAAAAGTTCAGTCACAATTTCCACCCAAAACTGAAGCCTCGAGCATGAAATGCAGCAGCTCTGTTACACAGAAAGTCTTTAGGGTGTGTATCTCTGTGCGTTTTGTCCATCAGAAACTCCTGATACTCTGTAGGTTGGAATTTTTTCTGTCTACATAAACATTCGTGACAGTGATCTGTTCTTCAACACCCAAAACGCTGCTCTAATTGGCTCAACTTTTTTTTTCCCCCCACTGTTAAATTTCCTAATGTATGAACACTGAGAGCTCCCAATTAATTTGTAATCCTCATTCTAATTGTCACCGGTACATTAGACACAAACTCTTTGTTCACACTGCAAGCAATGCAAGCTGAGAAACACCCGAAATGCAAACGAGGTAAAGATTCTAAAAGCTTGTGGCGAATCAGATTTCCATGCTTCTTGCCTCCTTACAATATAATTCACTGTATCATGCATAGCATACACTGCTTTATAGTCATAAGCTTTCATCAAAACAAAACAATACTAAGATAGCATAGGTGACAGACTACAAGGTGTTTTTTTTAAACTAATGATAATTTGATAATATATTGTAAGTGCTACAGTACATGCATTTCTGTTTTTTTGTCTTTTTTTTTGCAATCAGATTGGGATCAACACCATCATCCGAGATGCAACAGTGTGAACAACAAATCTGTGCGGTAGGTATTATTATATTTTTGATAGCTGTGATGACACGAAATTCCCAGGATATTCAAAGTGTTTCTATGTGTGTTTTTTTTTTTGGGTTGTCATGGAGAGATGCTTATGCGTGTGTGCGTGTGAGCATGCAGGAGCCGGAATCAAGCCTGCTCTGCGGCAGCGGCGGGAACGCTTCCCGGGAACTCTGGGTTGATAAAGGAGAATCCCTGGAACTCGTCTTGGTCCAAGTTCTGAATCACTTCCTCATCTGGGGGGGTCAGCACTGGCGGGTGGCGCGTGAAAAAACGGTCAAAGTTCTCGGCCTCCCGTCCGCACTGTTAAGGAGGGCGGGAGAAGGATGGAGTGCAGGAGGGAGGGGTGGATTGGGAAAGGGGGAGGAGCGGGAATGGAAAGGAGTGGATGGAATTGGTTGGGGGCAGGAGGAGAGGAAAACAAAAAGAAAGGGGAATGGCAGTTTGAACCGAGGTGAGATGGCATCACTTGAAAATGATTTCAAATATCAGAAGAAGCCGAAGCACAGGGGACCTGCTTGATTCCAATCTCCATCCGCCAAGACTGTGGCTTGGCGGGAGACAATGAATGAAGCACGTCTCAGGTGTGCTCTCCTTCTACAAATATTTGAAGCATATTCAACTCAAGTTTCAAAAAATAAAAAGCCTCAAACAAACTGTGGCAGTGCACTACACCGGGCCAGGAACAAATCTGACAGAGCATCCCAAAAAACCTGCACGTATTCTTTGTCTTACCGTAGCTAATTTAGATTTCATGATCATAGGACTTAGTTCGAAGTTAGCCGGGCCTCTAAATAGCAATGAGCAGGCTCAGAGCTATGAGATAATTATCATCGAAATGGTGGGTTAATTGTAGGTTAATTATATGCTGCAGCTGCAGAGACCTGTCAGGATGCTACCAAAAGAAAACCGATAAGGACTTGTTAGATGTTTGCTTGTGGAAGTTGCACAATTTGCCAAATCTCCAATTTTTATTTGGAGTTATTATTCAATATGCAGTCGAAAATTCACAATCTAATGGGAGTTGTAGATTTTATTAGCACCTCTGAGGAAATGATGGATGATAAAAGTCAAATCTTCTTAAAGACACCGGCACAATTATTTTTAAAGCAGAATATGCTCCACAGGCAAGTTATTTGGATACAAAAAGTCGCTGTTCATTTCTGCACCTTTCATTTCTTCCTCCTGACCACTACACAAACATAAATAGCTTAAATGCCCCAGAGAGGTGCATCCTTCCACGTACATGAAACAAGTTATTAGCTTGAAAACTTTATTTTTCCTGACAATGTGCCTCCCGGGGAATGTGGGTCCAGCTCTTCCTTTCTGTTTTTTCTTTTTCTTTTTAATTTTTCTTTTCATTTTTTATTTTTTTGCTAACCCATCACTTGACTGAGCTTTAATTAACACAACAAGGATTGAGTATTCTCTGACAACGTCACCCAGAGGAAAGCTGTAAACTCATTAAATTCCCGTAACTCAGGAAACCAAATGAAATTGAGCTCCACTGTTTAGACTTTGGGGAAATATGCAAAATGAGTTATGCGCTGGGGTTAAATTGTACTTGCCGCTAATTAGTGTCTTAACCCGTTTGGGGAGACCAGATGGGGGAAAATCTGACGCAAAAGGAAAATGATATTGAACTTTGCAAGTATCTGCATTGGAAATCAATTCAACGAAAGACTTAAAAAACAATATTTAACATCAGCTGGGAAACTGGCTTTGGGTTAGGCAGAGTGCTCTTCTGAAAAGAAAAAAAAAACTAAACAGTGTTTTCATCTGGCCAATGTGATAATTTGATATAAGGCCTTGTAGTGCACTCCAGGTCAGGTTTGATTAGAGACTGTGCTAAAGAGCATGCATATAAACAGACATACATGAGAAAACTCAACACAGAGAGGACAAATATAATGTGCAGATGAGAGGACAGATGGACGCACGGCAGCAGTGAACAGATGGATGGATGACATATTTGGAGGATGATGGAGAAACAGACTGACAAACGATCGCTGAGAGGACAGATGAATGAAGACAGCCACACAGCGATAAGTGGAAATGAATATCAGTGAAATGGCATTTTGATCTGCTGGATGGATGCATGAACCAGCCTTCAAGTCGCTCTCTTTGGTATTTCTTCTCTTTCTTTCTCTCTCTTTGGCGCATTCAAAGGTACATTTAACAGATTCTCCAAATGCAGCTGTTGCTCATAAAACCAACAGCAGACAACAGCAAACAGTGCTTAAAGGAACAAGCACAGCCACCTCGTTTTTCAGTAACAAGGCAACGGAGACCCACCTTAAAGGCAAAACTGACCCCACTTCAAATACAATACCAACACAAAGCATCAAAGGATTGCCTTGAGAATCTAAACCAACCACTATACACATAAAAAGGTGACCTATATTTCCCCCCTTAGTTGAAAGGCAGCGATAGCGAGAAAGAAGTAAAGGAGAGGACAGATGTCTGAAAGACAAAGTGTTCAAAAGACCAGATCAAACAGATAAAAAAAATCACGTATAAACTGAAAGAGAGATAGATGGATCAGACAACAAATGCTTGGATTTTTACCGAGTCACCTCACGGAAGCACTTGTGTTGTATTTAGCATGGTTTCACAGCGACCTCTGACCCAGATGCACACAGATGTACGCGTACACGCTGTGGCACTCAGGCAGGGAAAGCTGCATAAAAAGCTCAACTCTGAAGGAACTGCTAAGCAGCAGCGTGGCCAGAGGCTGCACCAGCGTCCGCACACATTTTTACCCGCGTTTGTGTGTGTGTGTGCGCATATGAGATGACATCATTCTGACTCTATGTTTGAGCATACTAATTTGGCTGTTGACTTGAAAAAAAACAAAACAAGCGCAGCCAGGAAAAACACAAACAATAGTTTTGATGACTTTTGCGTAAACTTTCAGGATGTGAAGCTCCCTGAAGGCTTAGTTTAAACTCGCTCTGACCCCCGATGAAGGGTCACCGCGCAACTGCACGCATCAACTTAGCGAATACGCACGCATACATTAAAACAAGGCAAAGCCTTTCTGCTCAGCCAAACCGCATTCGGTTCGGTGTTCCACCAACTCTGCCCTCATCGCTCCACATTGCTCAGCATTTAAACCTCATGTGTCCACTTACCTGTGGGCATTGTCCCGTATGGGGGAGGGGAAAGAGACAGAAACATCACAATGACAGAGAGACACGACGTGTGAAAATAGTAAGAGATCGAGGTGAAAGAAGGCATTGAAAAAGCTAGAGTAAAAGAAGAGAGCACAGAACCAGAGCAGAGATTTGGAAAGGAATTCAGCCACTAACAGGAGTGACACTCTGTGCTCTGTGCTCCGGTGGGGCAGAACTTTGCGTCACCCATGACCGGCGCAGCCCTGTGTGTGACTTACAGCTCTGGGTTTGAAAGGCGGCTGCACCTCCTTGTTCTCCAGTTTCTCCCAGTCCATGTAGCGGAAGAAGCTGTGGTCCCGGATGTCCCGCTCCCCCTCTGGAGCGCAGCCCAGCCGTTTCGCTGGATGCTTCGTCATCAGCTGGACAGAAACGAGAGAGGATTGTTCCATGTCACTCATTTCTTTTCCACCATCATTCCAACCTCTCCTGCCATGCAGAGCAGAGAGCCCACTCTCTTCATCCTCTGCTATTTTAATTGACTATTGTTTACTTATTTGTGGAGGTTAGAAACTAGCCTCTATCCTTCCTCCCCCCTCGATGATGTGTGAAAAATGATCAGAAATGGTATCACAGGTTGTACAATAATTGCATACATATATATATTTAAAAAAGCGCTGCAACCGGTTTCACTGTTCTGCTCCTTTAATGCAAATGCGTGTTGTGTGTCTGTGTGTGCGTGAGCTCGTCTTGAGTCGCTGATGCTGCATGAACATTGTTAACACTTTGCCTGTGTTGCTGTCACACTGAATGAAGATGTACAATCCAGTTCAGTGCACCCGAGCGTCAGCCTGGTCCATTACCCTACATGTACAGAGAAAATTGAACAGCAAGTGAGGAGCCGAGCTCCAAAGTTTAGGTTGAAGTCCACAGTTTACGATGAGCCGAACTTAATAATCGATCAGTCTCAATGATAATTACAACGGGATTCCAAGCATATATTGAAGAGCAATAATCCTAAAAGTCATCCTGTAAGTGTCATGCACTTGTGGAGGTGATTCATTTATAGAATATACGATCATTGTTGTGAAACGTGACCAAAATAATTCATTTTAGCCTCAGTAAGAAAGATTTATTTTATTTATTTATTTATTTATTTATCATTTTTCTTTTTGCAGTAAGAATTAAATAGCACATGATGAAAATAGTGAGGTCTGGTATGGATATGTTAATAGGGTGTAATAGTGTGGATGTGACATCTTTCATGTAAGAAACCCTAATATACCGAGTATACTCTTTTATATTCGCCATACAAACTAGGATGTCATCACAAGGGGGAAAATGGTTTCCTTCTCTTCAACACTAAAAACTTAAACTTCAGCTCATTTAACGAAGTTAGAAACCTGCAGAGGGAACAGCACCTGACTCCACACGGCTGTCTGCTCAGAAGCGTGAAACGCTCTGGGTGCAGTGGTGTCATGTTCACATAGGTAAATAAAGCCTAGCCACTTTTTCCAGACAGCATTACGTAAGTATACTCACTTCCAAACTCTGTTGCGCACCAGATTTACTGCCAGATGCAGAAAGAAATTTCTCTCGGCCACTCTATGACATAAGGCCTTTAGATACCTGGCCCCTTATTATTTTAGACTGATGGAACTGCAGAGACCTCCATGTGGTCCCAAACATGCTGCTATTTGGGTGAGCCGAGCAGATGTTTCTAAATGACAATGTAATGAAACAACTGTGAATTCCCTTGTGATGGTTGGAATCATTACCTAATCCCATTCTATTGATGTGTATCATTAACATACACTAGGTAGCAGGTGGAACCCTAAAGAACAAGACAGGCCTGGTCAGATGTACACACAACTTTGCCATATTGTAACACCCCAAATATTCCTCCCGAATCATTCAAGTTTAATCTATCTTATTCCTGTCTCCGTTCCTCAGCATTTCAAACAGTGCATCGCCTTAATAAATGAGTTTCATCATATTAATTAGAGTGTCTTAATCCTTTTCTTTTTTCCATAATTTGAAATATCCATCCATTTGACTACTATCCATCTGGTTTTTCCGCTCCCTGGGGATCAAATTTAAGCCACCAAGTTCCAGCCTGCAGGCAAATGAAAAACCGTTGTTTTCTTCCTCGTTTGCCACAGAACTTGTCCGCAGGCATAATTAAAAAACGTTCACAATGCCCGTCCACACAACCTACGAGGCGAGTGACGTCAACAGAAGTGTGTGTGCATATCGGCGGGGTGTGCCTCCCCTCAGGAGCAGCAGTCATAACTCATTACATTAGAGGTAGAATAACATTTTCCAGAGGTTAGTCAACCTTAAACTGCCCACAAACACGTTGGCTGCTCAGAGATAAGTGCAGGAACCCACACACTCACCATCCCGTTCACACACACACACACACACACACACAACCAATCACATACCAACTCACAGCGGCTTGTTTCTTCACTTCCCATCCATTATTTTACAAATTCTTCTCCTTTTTTCACCCAAGAATGTTGAAAAATGAATGTAGCAAGGCACAATCGAACGAGAGAAGAACAAAACCACCAAATTCCGACGGTTTTCTTTATGCTGAGAATAATGCCATATGTGAAAATGCCAGGGCTAACCTCTGCTCATTACTCTGTAAAATTGAGCCAGTTCCAACAAAGCAGCTCGTAAAGCAAACACAGGAAACAGCAACGGCTGAATCAATGGATTTCACTGACAGGTTATTTTCAGGAAAAAGATACAGGTTTTTGCAATATAAAAATGAAAACTCAAGCTATAATTCTTTAGGTGCCTTTCAGACAGCTTTTTTAGGTATAGTGTAATGAAATGCATACAAGGTATTTTCTTTTGTTTTTTTAAAAATGCTTTAATTCATTGAACACAGATGAGCCCTGACAGAGCACGGCAGGAGCTGGTATGTGTATGTGTGTGTGTGTGTGTGTGTGTGTGTCAGACACATTGCTGCCTCCGATGTACAGATGAATAACAAGATTCAAGCAAGGGGGCGGAAAAGCTTCTACATGTTCACACACAAACAACAACAGCACATGTTGGGGAGAATTTAACCATAAGTCTAACAAATGCTTTTGACACGATGGAGCAGGACAGCATGATATCTTTGGTGACTTAACAACACATTCTCACTCCCAACGACTCACGCTCACATCTGCACTCAGAATGCTGCGCTTCTTTTTTTCCCCCCTGAAATATTACTCGAAGAAAAAGATTTATGAGGTTGAGGCAGCCATGGTTCCTCTCTGACCATCATAAGCTTCACTGTGCAGTATGTAACACCAAAGAATGAGTCTCAACAATTACAAGACTCTGCAAAAGTTTAGTCTTTTTGACATGTTGAACAAACATATTCTGATATGCATGTGCAATTAGAAGACGCACAAAATAATATTTCCAACAAAAGACTGATCAGTGTGAGTAAAAATAACTGGTTTGTTCTGAATCATTTTGAGCTCACGACTGACATTCAGCTCACACTGTGAAGATGCTATGAAACACACCAGAGCTTCTATTCACAGCCGCTAAAACAAAACAAAATAGATTGTTATTTGATACAATGCAATCCGTAACAGGCTCCAAAGTGGGAGTTTGCTCTATAATTTGACTACATGGATCTAACTTGGGGTATTCATGAGTGTACGAGACTCTTCGCGTTACAATAAATGCCGGGATCAGCCTAGCTGAAGCCTGTCCCTTTTTTTTGGTTCTTAAATGAAAATATCTTGTAGCACTTAAAAAGAGTCCAACCAATCTTCAAGCACTGCAAGCACACACACAAATTTAACCCAGGCGATGCTGGCAGGGTGCAGTGGGAACAGTGGGGGTGGGCTTAGACTGCTTTCATGCTCCACTGAAGATTTCTTGTTGTAGCACTATAACCCAGTAATAATGAGTAGTAATATATAGCATATAGCCTATGTGTGCATTTCCGTGAACATATTTGTTATTAATTCCTCTATGGATGCCTTTGCCTTTAACTTTGTGGGAGGCACTACGACTAAAGTCCAGCTAAAAAAGGCAGAAGTTAACTCTGTGTTGATGTTAATATTTGTGTGCAGCAGATCTTCTAAAGCCTACATTCAAAAATACCTAATTGAAAAAGATAAGAGAAAACGTGTGTGTTTTTCTTTTCCTCAAATTCTTCTTCTCCTATAAACAATTGTGTTCTTTTACATTTAAGATGCTTTCTTTTGGATAAATATTTCTTCACTCGGAAAGCTTAGTTAGATCCTGAATGTCAACAGAATCATGGGGAGGAAACGATCAGATCAGCTCTGTGTACAATGATCGAATGCATATTTGAGTATTCTATGTGGGGAATTTATAATGGTCAGTGAATCTGTTTGGAGATGAGACAGAGGTTTGATACAGAGGACCGACTCCATTTGTTGACCTAATCACGCACACACACACTAATTAGACCTAGTTGGGAAGTCAGAGCATCATTTTTGATCTGGACGATCTATTCTGAAGAGGAGTGTACACAGCCAACTGGGCACACTGCCCACACACTGCATTTGTCCCATGCACTGCGTGTGTGTGTGTGTGTGTGTGTGTAAATGGTAAGAGATAGAGAAGATGGAGCAGAACAGACAGCAAGAATGAGCAATGCCGTTTCCCCCCCAATACACGTTTCCTTACAATGGTTTTAATTATGAGGCAAGTTTTGATGTCTTCTATTCCTCCTTCCTTTTTTCACCCTCTTTTGTTTTCCTGCCCTTTGGTTCTAACCTCCAATTTAATATCCTACCCGCTCCACTCTGTGTGCATCTGTGAGCAATGCAGAGCTAGCGACATGCAGAATTCATGTGTGTGTGTGTGAGTGCAAACTCACTCCTTTACAGATAGCGACAGCCTCTTTGGACATCGACTTTGGATAGGAGACATGATGCTCCATGATGGACTGAAACAGCTCATCCTCGTCCTCACCATCAAATGGAGGCTGCAGAGAGGAGCAGAGAGGTGAGAAGTGGGGGTGGCTAAGGACAAACAGGATATTCACAGAGTGACGAGAAATGCTATTATCTACTTGAATAAGAAACACGAAAGAAATGAACATATGATGCAAGCTTATGTCAGGGTAATGTAAGCTCTGTATGTTTGAGCTTGAGTGAGCGTAGCTAAATAAAAAAAAAAGAACTACTGATACAGATTCCATGACAATTTACTGCAACAAATCCAGATATTTTCTCATCGTCTAAAAACATTTTATTAAAATGAAACGTTTTCAATGCAAGTATTGTATATAATTTTTTCAATACAAGGCCTACTATAAGGCCAGCCATTTTAAAGGTTTCCATTAAGAAGGTGAGTGAGTTTTATTAGTAATATTCAAATTTATGTATTCTTTTGAGCATCTCAAAAGAATGTTGTCAGCCGAGTTTATGTTCTGAGAAGTGAAAATGAACTCATGGTTGTTAAAAAAGTTACAGTGCTTCAGAGTTGTTCCAGACTGTAAAACCAAATTAGTAACTTTGAGCCACAATAAATCTTAGACACCTTGTGGTCAGGCACTTTACACAGTCAGGGAACACTGGAGTCGAGTGGATGTGCTCAAAGTTGTTCTTTACTGTGAAGTGCTGAGTGTAAAATATAATCAGGGGCTTGAAATATCCCAAACGGGTTGTTAACTCTAACCTGGATTCAAAGACAATATTAGAATTCAGTTGTAGTATAAAATAGAATAAATCTGGAAAAGTTCACACTTTACAGGCAGTCTAAAAATCAGGAGTCTCGTGTTTTATTCCTAATCAGTTGTAAATCCAAATGTGGCTGAGCTATAAAAGAGGTAACTGCGCTGCACTTTTTGACAATCAAATCCTAATAAGACCCAAACAATCTGACGCTGGCACATACTCACAGACTCACCTGTCCAGCCAACATCTCATAGAGCAGCACTCCAAAGGCCCACCAGTCCACAGACTTCCCATAAGGTTGGTAGGCTATGATCTGAAATGAAAGATTCTTTGCTCAGGAAAGTTACAGCCATTGCTAGGAAAACTCATATTCGTGAGGAACACTTGAAACCCTAAAACAAAAATGATTAGAAGCTGATCCTAAATGAGCAATGCTTTAAACTGGATATCTTGAAAGGTCTAAGGCTTCGTATTTTCTTTCCACTGCGGTTCTTAGTGCCCCTGAGTGATGGGCCGTGTGGAACACACTCCTCTCACACACATGCACTCAGTCTATACCTCGGGAGCGATGTAATCTGGCGTGCCACAGAAGGTCTTGGTGGTGATTCCATCGTTCATATTTTCTTTACACATTCCAAAGTCTGCTATCTTAATGTGACCTTCACAGTCCAGCATTACATTGTCCAGCTTCAGGTCCCTGCACAAGGATGAAACGATATTACAAGAACGAGGAAGAAGAACTATGTTCACTTCAGTTCAAATTCAAAGGTCAAAACCAGCTTCTCTGCTTGTTTCTCTTCCAAGTGACTGAATCCGGCCAGAATATTACAGATGAAAACACACCATGTTCACTGCAAAGACTGTTTCAGTTCACGTGAGCTCATCATTTACTCACTTTTATGATCAACAGCTATGGTCACACCTCAGTCCATTTCGACTCAATTAAACACAAACACGTCTCTCCACTTTAATAAAAAGCTTATTTATTATCAGTTCATTGGCTCATAACGCCTTCTGCGTGAGTCCATGAAATGAACATTCTGCTGAATGCATATGGGATAATTAAATTCAGTTTGGCTTAATAGAATGGACCAAAGGTGGAAAACCGGGACCCTTAAATAGGATCTTTTGAGTATTAGATGGACTTCAGTTATTTGACACAACATTAACATAATCTCTTAACACTGTACTGAGTTTTCTAAGCACTTTGATATATAGAAAACTATAGCCATTTAATGATGTGAGAGAGCAATCATTTTATAAATACCCCAAATATGTAACATTAGAAATGTGTGTTTGGAATACTAGAATCACTTTAATATAATTAAGTAACGCTCAAATGTTTTTAGAATTTCATGGTGCACACTGATAGTATGCTGGAGAAATAACTGAAGCTTAGTAACCCAGAGATGGGGCACCATCATAAAAATAAAGACAGAATTCACATTATCTTGTTACATGGCTTTTCCCCAGATCCTGATCTATTCAAAAAAGGAAAGGGACCTGCCAAAACAAATCCACGATCCACTGAGTAACCTCTGCTAAAGTCCTTCAGTGGCTCAGTTCAAGATGTCCCCAGTTGTTCTGTGGCACTTGGGACCTAATGTAGACACATGGTTTAAATCTTGTGGCTGAAAGGTTTATATGTTTGAAGTTTTACAAGAAACGGTTAATACCATCAATGTATTGTTGCATGAAATTGAAAAACTCCCCCCGCCCCAAATAATGTAGAGACACGGCGTCAGTTTCTCAAGTTTTTACCACCACGACCGATCAAAACTATTCACATTTTGTTAATGTTGTGTCTTCAGTATGATCTACATAAATGTTACCTGTAGATGATGCCCTTTTGATGCAGGAAAAACAGACCAATGGCTATCTCAGCAGCATAGAATCTACAACAGAAAAGCAAAACACCACATACACAAAAGAGAAACAACACAATTTAGAGAAAGGGCTGCAAGGAAGGACAATGGAGTGAGCAGAGATAATTTGTGTGTGCATGTGTGTGAGTGCCAGTGTAAAGGTCAGTGCTGTCTGCCCAAGGCCAGAGAGCAACTGATAAGATCAACAGGAGTCTTAACACACTGACCACGCAATCAGACATGTTCACATGGGCCCACGCAATCAATCTATGTTTGTACAGTGCATGTAAAAGATGTCGAGAGGTGTTCTGCAGGTGTAGAGATAAGTGAAAAATATGAAGAGGGACATTTTTTTATCCATGTGTGATAACAGAGCAGAAAAGTCTTAGAAACCAAAACTGTGTATACAAAGAAATAAACGCAGTTTTAAAGTCAAAGGTAACACCGTCACGTGTGCAGGATGTGAATAACTAACAGGAGAATAACTTAAAGGAAGAACCCTGCTCCAACTTAAATGTAATAACAAAGTTAATACAAATGTTCAATTCAAATAAGAAAATACATTTAAATAAAACATCTAATGAAATAAAAACAATACACGCTCATGCATTCATCCATTTCTGCAAGTCAAGATATAAGACTGAAAAATGCCTTCAAAGGTCTAATTACTTGTTAAGTAGTTGAGTGCTTGTTATATAAAAAAGAAAGTTCTGAAAGCCTAAGGAGTCTGGATAAAGTCTTGAAAAGCACAGATGACTATTGTCTAATTAAAAACAAAGAAATCAGATGACTGTCTATTGATGGTTTTAGGCCATGCACTCCCCCAAAACAAGGCTAAAAAAATATGCTGGAGCACTCAAAGTGACCGGGGGGGTTTAAGAGGAATGTCACAGACCGCAATCTCATCGAGTGTGATACACACCTCTTAAAATCCCGAATTCCACTCGGCAAGGCAACAACGTGGATTCGCTCGACACCAATGATGTGACGAGCAAACCTAACTTTCTGCAGTTTAAAAAGTCTTCAAAGCAGGAGCACGATACTGGGACAAACAACACCTTTTGGCCACAGGCCCCGCGGGGAACATTCATCCAACAGCAGAGCCAGTTAAAGCCCTGACCTGTGCTGTCTAAGAGGGTCTCTATGTAAAGACAAACGTGTGTTTGGGCAATGTGTGCACAGAAGTCTATTCATCAGCAGATAACTCCAAGAGCGCAAAGCTGCTCTATGTGCACAAATGAGCTTCTACACACACTGGGAATTGATAGGTGCAGGCTCCAGCCTCCCATCACGCAACCACAGGAGCCACGTTTGTATCAGCACATGTCCCTATAATACAACTGAACCTGGACAACCAATCATACAAGTAATAGGAGTGGGAAAGTTATTATTCACTTATTATTTGGGAGGCAGTAATATTTTGGCAAGTGTACCTTCCAGTTCCCAGAGGCTTTTGTTTCTCAATTTTTTTTACCAGTCTTTGAGAGTTTCAACTTTCCAGTAACTTTAACAGTCATTTTTCCAGTAACAGGAGCTTTATACTGGTCTTCATGTAAACGGGGGATGGTGTGCTTTACGTTACTCTGCATTGTCAGCAGATAGGTACAATAGGGGAATTCAAAATTCACACTGTGAAGAAGAAAATCCTTTTGAGTTCATATAATTTTCAATATTTCTGTTGAGACTCTTTTTAAAGAAGTGTTTTCTCAACCTGAATCAATTAAATGAAAAAAATCTAATAAAAGTAGGTGCCAGACGCTGTTCCGCTAATCGTAGGTGGAACATAGGCTGCGTCCACTGCTGACAGGCCCCATTTGAGCATGTGGAGTAAGCATGTTGCCCTGCTTTATGCACCTGTGTGGAGCAGAAAAGCTTCCCTTGAAAGATCGCTTTGTCCTCATGGGTACCCTTCAGTGCACTTCAATCAAATACATGAAACTGCTCTTCACCTGCACTGCACGTGGGACTAATTAAACAGGGTTCTGTCGGCTGGCGCTCAGAGAAGGAAAAAAAGCATCACGAAACAGATTTTTACTGAGATGGCATAAGAGATATCTGTGTGTGTGAATGTGTACTCACACAGCGTGGGGCTCTTTAAACTTTCCAACCTGCTGGATCTGATACATGAGATCCCCACCGTTAATGTACTCCATCACAAAATACAAGCGGTCCTAAGGAGAGAGAGAGAGAGAGAGAGAAAGAGAAGGATCGACAGGTCAAAAAGTGACCGCAGAGAAGGTGGGCGAGAAGGACAAACGATTGTCAATTCCTGTGTGGGGAAAGAGGCTAACCAGAGATAGCGGGTACAAAAAAAAAATGACAGTGACAACAGAGGGACATAAGAAAGAAAGGATGGAAAGTGGACTGAAATAAAAAGCTGACCTGGCTGTCAGAGCATCCAATCAATCTTCAGCTGAGGGAACTGAGACATCAATTTAAAATCCTATTGTCTTCCATTATCTACAGAAATTGCCAATAAGGTGCATTTTGCGAGAAGAAGTGGAGGAATTTGTCATATGGCCAAGTGTATGTGTTAGCGCATGTCTTTGTGTGTGGGTGCTCTGGAGAAAATATGTGAAGTTTTGTTTGCCAGTGCCTGCACTGCCTGATAAGTCCTATGGGCAGTGGTTCGAGAGCTATTTGTGCATGGCGTTTGCGTATAAGTGTGTAATTAAACTGTATTTACGTGTGTGAACTACAAATAATAGTATATTATATTATACACGTGAATGCATGACCGTAAGAACTGCCTGTTTTTAATGGCTGCATGCTAAATTCCATGGACAAAGCCCTCCTCCGGTTTGAGAATTAGTGCTGAGCAGGATTAACGCACTCACTTCTCATTTGTCTGTGCATAGTTAAGGTCAGCTTTATTTGCAAGGTCTTATGACTGACTGAAAACACATCACAAATGGAGGAAAAAAAACACGCAGATGAGTCTGTACGTAGCATATGAAATTAAATGACATGCACCGAGGGCTAAGCATGAAACCAGCCAGCTATGTTTAATCCTCTGTTGACTCATCGTTAGTGTAATGCAGATTATACAACACAAGTTGAGAGTGAATCAAATATGAATTCAGGCTGTGTTTTCCAGCTGCGAGCTGGTGACAGGAAGTGAGGTAGCTGCTGTTAGGACCACGGCGCTCGCCCTGTGCCCTTCAGCAGGGCAAACTTCTGCTACACACACCCCGACAACTCACAGCCCCGCAGCAACCGGCTTTTTTGTTTTCAAATCCGAACAGATTTTTTTTTTTCTTTTTGTGTTTGTGTCTGATTAGCCGTGTGGATCACAAGGCCGCATATTCTCAAATTAAACAGAAGCCCACGCAGGCTGAAAAATTGCACATGAAGGCTGAGTCTGTTGAACCGAGCAGCTCAGTAAATTGAGAGCAAAGAACCCTGCAGAGGGAAGAACAAGCGTTAGTCGACACAGTGACAACAGGGTTATGCATAAAGGACCTACAACTCCTGCTTCATCTGCGGTGGATGAATAGATTCTCTCAAAATAAATCAATTAATCTCCTTAAATGATTCAGCATAGTTTTCTTTTTCTGTTTGCTATGTCGGGGTCCAGTTACTCCAAGAAGGTATGAATTTATGAGGTGTGCACATTCTCACTACAAGCACGGGACCTTTTTTGTAAATTCCAGTTTGCTGGAATTGACTTTCCATTCAGTTTAATCTCCAGGCCTGAATTTGATGTGCATCTCTTGCTATATGCCATTTCAGTTGAATCTGTTAAAGCCATTTTGAAATATAGGCAACCTTTATCATTCAGTATTTGTTAGTAACAGGGAAATCTACTTGCATTGACTCGATGCAGCTTCCATCTTGAAAGAATTTGTGTTATTGATTTGATGTAGGATGCAGATAAGTTAATCATTATCTCATTTTGTCTTAACATTACCTTCTGATCACCAACAAAGCCAAAGTAAATCCCGAGGAATTTGAACTGATATGTCAGCCTAACAAATGAACAGCAAAATACAAATGACAAATCAAAAGAAAACACAGAATTAGACATTGCAGTAGACGCTGAGGAAAGGTCAGTACACTGCATGGGTGAAAACACCCATCAGTTGTTGGTTTTATTTTTGTACAGTGTAACACACGCGGCTACATGCTTGTCAACCCACCATCGTCTGAAAGGTGGAGTGCAGCTGTGTTAAGAACGGGGGCTTTCCAGCCAAAGCTAACACTCTCTTCTCCACCATGGTGCACTCTACGTCATCGTCCTGGATCACCACGTCTTTCTTCAGGACCTTTATGGCGTACAGCTCCTCCGTCCCTTTACGCTCTGCCAGCATCACCTGGAGAGAGGGAAGAAAGGGGGAGAATACTGATTCATCACCTTTCATCAAGTCACTAGGAAGAAACGGGCCTACAATCAATCCAAAAATCAAGTGTCTTTAGACACTGGGCATATCCTAACTAATTTCAAAACAGAAGAAAAAAGCTGACAGTACTGGAACTTGTGCAGTTCTTCTTGCTTTTAAATGTTCACAGTCAGTCTGTTTGTGTATTCTTGTGCTAATCAAACTTAGGCAGAGTTAGCGTTGATAAGAAGGTGAAATGCGTCATCTGAGAATGCAAAGTTTCGGAGAGCTGAACGGGGATAATTTGCTTCTTTGAGATTTCGCCTCTCATTCAGGATTTACATGGCTGTATCTTTTGAGCAGCAAATTCCATACCAATCGGAAAATTTCTCTCTTTCAGAGGCCCTCGCTCTCGAGCAGTCCTTTTCAAAGTCCCAGCTGTTGGTTCTTTTTTATCAGCATCCTTTAAACTAAGAAAGAGTGACTCTCACACACTATTTTTAGCAAACCAGCTGACCAAGAGGACCAGAAAGATACAGGTCGCACAACTCAACTGTGACACGAAGCAATGCATGAGCAATGCAAATTAAGATGAAAACACCATGTTTTTTACTTTACCTTTTGAATAGGCTATAGAAGTAAATGTTCTGGGAACTAAAGTACTTTTTGTTTAAAGTTCTGTCTTTAAGCTGGTTAGTTCTCTCTCTCTCTGTTTTATTGAATCCTGTTTCCCTGTCCTTCTTTGGATTTAGATTTTAGCCCTTTTTTCTGTACCATTCCTTTCTCTGAGTATATGAAAAAAGGAGAGGCTGTTTGTGGCAAAAAAAAGACATGCTTTGTAAACACATAGAACAAAGATGTGTTTACCTCTTCTTGTACGGATTTTGAGAAGCAATCACACAATTAAGTCACACAATTAAAACCATTATAACTGACGCTAAACTGCAGGAAGCTTGAACTGTTCTATCTAGGTTTTTCTACCATTCTTCTCAAGATAATCTTGACCATAAAGAGATCCCTATGTGGCTGTAAGGGTTACATAAACGATGACCATTTCCCACAAATGTGTGGGAGCAAATCATTATCTAAACTGAATCACTTGTGTCAGATTAAGAATACATTAACATCACAAAAACTCTACACTTGGGAATCTCTCCATGTCTATTAAGAAGACACAGGGTCCAAAATCCTGTCAGAAAAAGTTCTGAAATCTGCTGGAAAAACCTAAAGAATAATGTACTTTTACAACTTTTGAAATGACAACCTCTCCTTCAGGTTCTCATTGCCGTCTGGTGAATTATCCAAAGTGCAAAACAAATGAGCCGAGGGATGTTTGGTTTGTCCGAACGAAGTAATGATGATTTACAGGAAAATGCTTAAATTTAGCCAAGTGCTTAAGGGGTTAATATCCATTCCCTTCCCCCCAATGAGATCAGACCCTTAACAACTTTGCTTTTTATGTCTTATACATATTCAGGTATGATAATGTAGCAGGGTTATCAAGTTCAGGATGCTACTGGGATTGTAGCACAGATGGACTGGGAAGGAGACAGAGTTATATAAATGGATGAAGATGTGTGAATATGAGTGCATGTGAATGAGTGAGGATGAGGGTGTTTCGATGTGTGTTTGCACTCAAGGTAGCTACAGTTTAAGAATCTGGAGCATTAAAATTGATGGCAAGTTAGATCTGCCCTGGTGGTATTCTCTGCTCAACGCAGGCAAAAAATGAATGGTGTGTGTATGTGTGTATACAAGCACTCTGCGCATATGGTGGCAGTGGTGACTATGTAAATAGAAACCCTTTAAAGTTGAAACACAGAGCAAGGACACCATCTGGCCCACAGTTCATTTTACACAAGCACAAGGACCGGCCCAAGGAAAGAAAAGAAAAGAAAAGAAAGAGGAATTAAAACCACTGAATGTGATCTAAAAACTGACATCACTCTGCAGGTTGAAGATGTGCAATGTAACAACAGCAGCTTGTCAGCATCACCACAGACATTTGTGGGGACACACATAATAAAGTGTCATGTCATTCCATTTAACAGATGTAAACTCATTCCCGGTTTCGGGTAATCAACAATTTCTTTGTCAAGGAGAATTTGGTTGTCTGGTCATTTATAAGCTGTGGAGTATACCATGGACTATGTTTTATCCATGAATGTAGTTTAAAGAGCAGCTGTGATCATTGGCTGTCCTCTGATGTGAACGATGACACTTCCCTTTTCTCTGCTGACTTTGCAAACTGTATGTTAAGGCAAAAAAGTCAAAGAAGCCACTCCTTAAAGTAAACCCACTTCTGTGAAAAAGGCTGCACAGACGGCATTCCCACATTAAAGAGCAAACTCTGGAGCCTTTAATGGCACCACTTTCCAGAACAATCTGCCACACTTCATTTCAGTGGCGTGATTTTGCATCATCAACACTGAGCGGTGTGTTCTTAAAGCGAGGCAACAAACAGCCGCCTGTGGCATTACAAACACTCTTATGATTATTAGTACATTCATTCAGGTCAGTCTGAGACACAATGTATTTGAACCCAAATCACCACGTTTTCTTAAACCTAACAAGCTAGTTTGAGAAAAAGTTATGAAACCGTCATCCCAAAAGCTCACCTCTGCTCCACCTGCTTTCAGGTGGACCTAAATTGGACACCAAATAATACCTTGCACACACCCTTTATGGTTTTAATGAGTTAATCAAATATACAATCTTTCCTTTAAACTAATGACACTTAAATATTTAAATATAAGAAACCACATTGTATCTTACTAGGTCAGATATAAGATTAATGTTTAAACAACATTCCGACATAAACATGCACAGCAAACTGTCCTTCTAAGACATGATAACTGGATTATTTTGTCAGCAAGTGTGCTTTAAATGGAAAAAACAACAGATACCATCAGCCACTGTTTAACACCCACAAAACATGGAGCAAAGACACGACGGTGGAGTCGCTGAACCCTGCTATCGATAAGATTGCTAATGATTCTGGTTCTTTTTCCCACCAGCTGTTCAAAGATTTCAGCCGCTCCTGTGTGTCACAAGACCCCAGTACAGTTGTCAGACAAACATGAACCGCTCTGACATGATGACATGCTGTCACTCCGTGCATCCATCTCATCCTCACCAAGCACCGCACTGTCCAGTTTGACAAGAATTACAAACACATGCTTGATTCTTTTATCTAGAGTTTAAAGGAACCCGTGAGAGACGTTGACTTTAACGTCCAGTGTTTTCAAAGTATGTCTTTAAAAGAACAGCTGTCAGATAGAGAGGATTGAAGTGGTGCTGTCCTTGGTGCTGAATCCTAACTCCTAATTATAGACCTAAGCCATTTCTGTGGTTTCACACGTTCCAAAGGAATCCTCATCTGTGCATTTCTGTGCATTTGCATGCTCCTGTTGCATCGGGGTGTGGTGGTGGTGCAGGAACTGACAACCCTGATCAAAACGAAGCATGCCCCTTCTCTGCGTCCGCCCATTAGATGCACGTGTCTTCATCCCACCATAAAACCCTCCTCGGAGAGCTGTGAGTGGCATTATTGTAATGCAGATGTCCTCAGACACCGTGGCAGCAAAAGCTGCTCCGAAGGCACCAGCCTCCCACGCAACTCAGGATTCTTGAAAATGACACATGGAGCGTGAGCGCCTGCTCCCTGCATGTGGTTATGGGTCTCTGCATCTGGAAAATGGGATGCTGGGAGTGTGTGAACACTGGGTGTCTCGGGGCGTTTCACTCGACCGTATTTGTGGCCGTAGTCGGTGGTTCCACAGGCGTGTGTGTCTGAACGCGAGGGTCAGGTATTCCAATAATGATCGAGCCTCAACTCGGGCTCCGAAACGGTGACGCATGAGTGAAGCTTTAAATGTCCGTTGCCATGGAAACAGGCAGCCTGCATCCAGGTCTGCTACACAGACAATGGCTTAGCTTTTTTTCCCCCCCCCTCCCTGTCTGTCATGCTCTCACACAGCTTTCAGTCTCCCTCCACGCCACCGCCCTGCCCAGCTTTTACTCAGTTCACACCGCATCATCCCATTCTCTCCGTGTCTTGCCTTGATTCCCATTCACTCATTGATGTCAGTCCTCCCTCTTGCAGGTCCCCCCCCTCCTCCTCCTCCTCCTTTCTCACTCTCCCATTTTTCATTCACTGACGTTTTTAGCTCTTTCTCAATTCATTCATGTCAACCTTGTCAGCGTGGATCTCATCGCTGTCTTCCTCTCCTTTCATCATTCTCACCACTTGTCATGTCATCCTCTGTGCCCCTTTCCCTTCATCCATCTTTGTCTACCTGTGCTTCATCTTCTTTAACCGTCTCTGTCTCCATCTCTGTCTCCCTTTCATTTAATCTTTGTTTGCTGATGTAAAGCTCCGAAGCTCAGTCAAACTCCCAGAGGTATTTGCTATAGTACACAATTAAAAAAAAAAGACTTTGCATATGCATGATGGCTGCCTTGCATTCTTAGTATGTTCCTTGGGAGCAATAGATCTGCCAGCGCTTAAAAATGAAAGCCCTGTTGTCACACTTCAGTTATTGGCCAGTAGCTACATAGGATAAGACAAAAAATAAATACAAACACATATATTTATATGAACTTTCCTGTATTTGCTGTGTAGGGATTCAGATAAAAGTGACCACCTGAAATAGCCCGCTGCTCTTACCTTGCCGAAGCTGCCCTTTCCCAGCACCATCAGGAAGTTGAAATCAGACAGTCGAATGCGATCCTGGTTGCCATTGGAGTCAAACCGGGAAGCAGCATTGGCCGACTTGCCTTCTGTGTTCTTGCCCACTGCGATTTTAGCCCTCTAGATGGAGGGGAAAAAACATTACACATTTACAGAAAACAACAGGTTTCTGCATGGTAGTATATGTACAAAAGAAAATTAAAATATTTCTAACACAAAACATAGTTAAATCAGAGCTGTCTCTTTGAGGCCCACCTCCCAGATAGTTCAGTTGGGTCTGATTGGTTGGTTTGGCCGACATTAAAAGTTGTGACATTGGGGGATTCTTTAGACAGGGTCCATGCTGTAACAGTTCACTGACAACAACAACGGCATTTAAAGATGAATTATATAAGCAGCATCGAACAACAGAAATACGTTTCCAATTCAACATTATTATTATGTTAAAATCAAGAGTCAAAATAATTTTTAGATCGGTCTGAGAGACCAGTTTTCTTGTGTTTTCCCCTCCCTAGGAGTCTGCTTTTTATTCAGTGATGACTACTTTCCTCTTTTATGTACTTCAATCATTTAAGCATGATTTTCGAAATCCATTTTCAACCAAATCTTTGCCAAGGCTCTCATTCTTAATTCACTCATTTCTATCAAAAAGCCTCTACCTGTCTCCCTCTGTTGTCCCACAAACGCCTGCTTAGAGCAAGAAAAAAACAAGTTTTTGTGGGCAGCAAAGAATAAAGAAGACAACATTCTGAGAAGCTGGAAAGATTAATGAGGCTTGCTTTTGTTGTCTGTCCTTCTGCAGCCACATGCACTTACAAATGTTCTGTACTTCAGAAAACATTATCATACAAAATGATAAATGTGAAGTGAAGGATTTGATTACATGTTTGGAGTTTGGAGATTAAACTGTAAAGTCCCCAAAAATTTCTAGATGAAAGGTGCAAGGACCAATCCAGAATATGCCTAATATATCTATTTATAGACAAAAAAATATGTGTAATATATGGATCGAAGATTTCTTTTTTCTAAATTAATCTCACCTAAATGTTGCTTTGCTAATACAGTATCACCTATCAGACCCGGTTCTGAACAAAACGGGACAATCATCTATTTGTCCCATCGTTTTTTGATCATTACCTAATTCTTATTAGAACTGTTTCACCAAGTGCAAACTGTAGAGAGGGGAGTAACACACAGTGAGTGTGCTCTTTGCCATCTCTGTGCCACGACACTGATACTTCACCCCAGAGGTTTCTAACTGACGGTGTGTGTGTGTGGTGAGTGCCTGAGTGTAATAGATGCCCTCCAACCCCTTGAGAGAGTTTCTCAGAGATCGTCTGAGGACCCTGACCTTGAGGAGGATAAGGATGTAGTAAAAAAACGGATAAACAGTGACAAACACACAGGGGTGTACTGAAGGAGATAGAGGACAAAACAGACAAATGGGAGAGAGGGAAGCAAATGAGGGGGACGAGTAAGAGAAGGGGAAGCAATGAAGGATAAAAAAAGCTAATCGCGTAACGAGAGCAGATTCTGTCGAAGTGCCGTGTGCGCCTGCAGCACAGAACATGCGACACAAGACTCATTCAGGCTTTTTGGTGAACAATGAAGCTGTCAAAGCATCAGGGTAGAAAAACCCAAAGCAATGTTAGTGTAAAGAGATAATACACAAACATTGAAATGGAGAAACCAAAGTTAGTGCTTTAAACCCGGTAGTTGTGAATGGAAGATTTCACTAAATGTTACACACTGGAACTCTAGCAGATTTTCTGAATGAGTCAGTCATTCTTGTGGCCTGGTGTCAGAGTAACAGAAGGAGATGAGGAAAAAACGAAAGGAAAAAAAAAAAAAAAGGGAAAGCACAGAGCAGGGTTATCCTCGCTACTGCCAAATGTGTTAATGAATGGGCCTACCGGTCAGCCCACACACACACACTCACACACACATTCACACACGTCTGGACCCGTCGTGTGCCAGACCGGATGGTACTCTAAATGTGCCTGCCAACTGCTAACAGCCTTCCCAGAGAGGCCCTTACCCAGACACACACTGCTCGCAGCTTCCTGCTCACACACATTGGCGGACCCTATCATGCCGACACATTCAAACACGTGTGTGTAAAACACTTACACACCTCGAATTTCTGCCGTAGCTCCTCGTTGCCCTCCTCCCCTTCTGGAGCGACGGGGACATTGAAGTACTCGCCTTCTTCCTGAGAGAGCAGCTTAAACCTTAAAGAGGGGGATATTAGCAGGCAAACCAAGTCAAATCGATAATGTTGTAGAATAAAGGTGTTAAACTGAAAGTACGATTGAATAGTTTAGGCTTTCATGGTGACAGTTTTTCATTCAAGTGCATTTTATGACCAAAACCCCTGGAAAACATGAATTCACAAAATTACAGGTCATGCTGTTTGAACTAGAAAAAAAAAAGATCAACCCCAAGAAACCCAGATCTTCTGACATTGTTGTTGAAGGTGAAACTGCCAGACAAGTTCCTTTCTTCTACTAGAGCCAACTGTCAGCCTCCTTCTTTATTTTTTTATGAGGCTTTCTTTCTACTCTGGTTGGTTAGATTACAAAACTAAGTATGTCCTTTTAGCTCGCCAAACAGATATGAGGCAAAATAACACTTTGAAGTCCCAAATAATGAAATTACTATAAAATAATTTGCTAAATGTTGGAGGTGTGTCTGCTTTGGAAAGTGAATGACTGATCTTTGACCTGTTTTAACCAACTTAAATTTGTAATCAGAAACGGACACACACTGCTCATGAATTACGATGGCCTGTTTTCATTAATCATTTTTCTGAATTTTAATAAGCAAGTTAAGTTCTGCTAGTTTTGGTCTCCAGGGAACATATGTTTCCATAATGAAGGCACAACCGTTTCCTAATAGTCAGATACACAGCTGTAGCTGGCTAGCTAGAGGTTAATGCATTCGACCACATCCTGTTAGAACATTGCAGTCTTCAGAGAGGGGTGGGCTTCTATTAATCTCAACAAATATCAGAATCATGGTTGGAGATTAGGAAAAACCAAAGAAATTGATAAAAGGAGACAATGTTCAACTCTGCACTTCAGAATAACATTGTTGTCGGCCTTTCTTTCCCTTATCTGACTTTGTGCAGTTATAAAGTTGCACAAAAGGTGAATAAAATGAAAAACAGCATTTTCTCAAGTTAGCTTTGAATATCAGGTACATAATGCCATCTCCCCACCTCCGATCCATCTCAAGTCCTGGCATCTCATTAAAAACCCTGACAGGCCGTGTCAGCAAAAACAGAGGAGTACAGAGCTGGGTAGAGACTGGGCTACAGACACAGAGGGAGGAAGGGAGGTGAAGAGATGAAAAAACTGAGATAAAGAGAAGGGATAGACTCGCTCTGGCACTGACTATAACTGGAATAAAAAGAAGTTTCGGCTGAAGTTTTTTTTCTCTTGTGGTGCAGTAATGAACAAGGTCACCTTCACTCTCCCACCTCCTCCTCCTCCTCCTCCTCTTCTTCCACTTGGTTAGTTTTCACTGCCTCACATTTCACTCCCTCTCTTCATACGGGCCCTACTGTTTTCCTCTTACCAGCCGTCCACCCCTTGTTTCTGGAGCTCTGAGATGCCGAAGGACAACGATCCCATGAAGTCATTGCGGCTGGTCAGGTCCCAGTCCCACACCTCCACGGACAGGCGGCGGTCCTTATCGTACTCCTTCAGGTGGCTGAGAGACAAACAGAGGCAGTCAGCAGCTAGACAGCTCTGGACAGCTTTCAGTGAAGTGCGCTGACCTTCAGAAGCACATGCGAACAGTCCTCGACTACAAATTTCCACTATTCAGTTCAAATAAATGTTTGTTAGCGCCTATATTTCTTTGATTAACACATTAATCACATACCTTAAATATTTTTATTTTGACATATTTCCCCCTAAACCGTGTATGGATTCATGCACACAACTTCCACAATTGTAGCACTCTTCTGTCAAGAGTTATTCTGACATGAAAAGGGCCCCACACCCCAAACATCTGCACAAAAACGCCCGGAGTTGCTAATTTAATTCTTCTTCCATGATAACCCGAGGGCTTGGAAATATATACCCTTGGAGCCAACTGCAGCAAACAACACCACAAGCAAGGTTTTACAGATTCAGGGAGCCAGATGTTTTTCTCTGACTGCCAGCGGTTACGCTCACTTGGAAAGACAAGCATAACAGGTTTGGTCTCAAAACACTGTGGTGAGCAACGACAGAGGGGAATGAGTTAAGAAACCAACAAAAGTCTTACAATTTGAAAGTTTCGTTCCATGTCGGGTTGAGGCAGCACTTTATGGTCTTGGTCTTCTGTTTGCTCTCGCTGCGGGGATCTGGGATCAGTTTAAGCTTCACGTAGGGGTCCGACAGACCGTTGGGGTCCATGGGAACAAGATTCCTCCCCTCTTTAACTGGAGGCAGAAACAGGAATGAATTAAACTGACGGATAAAAACATTCATATCTAATTTACATTACACTGGTAAAACATTGTTTGCTACTTCCTTATTCACCACTGTAGTTATGTGCTGTTGATTTGGAAATTCTGAATATAAGAAGCTGTATTTGAGACTACCAAGTCACACTATTCATAGTAGAATTACTGCACACACTCATGACCTCTCATTGTGTCGGGGATTATGGCCTCGTGTTTGCCAGAACCGTCTTTAGTGACCGTGTAGACAGACTGAAGGTCACCAGTTCCAACACTAATCCTTTCTTGTGACGGGACAATGATTTTATTCCAGTGGTGGAAAATCCCCTGTGATTGGAGTGAGTTCAGTTGTGTGCGAGTGTGCATAATTACGAATGCTGGTCAAGTTGGTCCAATTACCAGATGCAGGGCAGCTGTGTATTAGGCGGCGTGCTGGGGTAGCAGTCAGCGCACACAAACACACAAACACACACACATACATACACAAGAACCTTCTTCATTCTACATGCAATGTGACATACCGCCTGGGCAAATGTAATTCACTGGTGGCTCAATGTAAAAAGTAAATCCTGCACAAGACAAAGTGCCTTTTTCAACTGCTTTTAACATGATAAATGTGTGTTATTATCTAATTGTAAAATGGTATCATAAAGGAAACTGTTGGTCCGAAAAACAAATTTGTGGAGTGCAGCATCTGAGCCAACAGGCCCTCTTAGAGTGAGTATAACAAAGGGTGATGTACTTCAAAACAAGTCAGAAGCACAGTATATTGGATTAAACAAGTACTTTATTACGATTTAACTTGACCCGATAAAAATACAAAACTCAGACTCCAGACAGTTTTGCAGCAATGAGTGGTGCATATCTAGTAAATTCCCATTTTCAAAATCCTGTAGATATAAAATGGTAGGCTCCTGAACAGTTAAAACATTTTTTTAATTAATTTTTGTTTCTTTTTTTATTTCACCGACAGTCTAGTTCTGAACACACTTTGTTTTGGGGACGTTGTAGAAGGATACTTGGAAAAGCAGTCCTGTCCTGGTTCACCTTTTTTTTTTTTTTTTAAGAAAAAAGCATCTGAACATGCAACAAAATATAATGACTTATTTCTAGCTCATTCACCACCTCTACATTAAGTACAATTCAATTCAGTTGTAGTTGTCTCAGTGACATAGAGACAAACTAACAACTTTATTCTGTAAAAAAAAAAAAAAACTAAGCAATACCGCGCCGCTTTAACACAACGACAGTTAATGTGTTTAAACCGCTGAAAAGCTTTGAGGAGCGAGCAGCTATCAAGCCAGAAACAAGAAGAAGACTTCCTAGAGAGCTCAAAGTGGGTGAAATACCCGAGATGTCAGAGAGCTGCTGCTGTCAAAGCATTATTCCACACTAACCTCAAAGAGGTTAACCACAGCACAGACCCGGCATTAAACTCTGAGCAGAGCAGGTCAATAAATATTAGATGACGGCTGTTAAAGTGACCATCAAACACCAGCTTAGGAAATCGGTGAAGAGGGTAGCGTGCCAAATCGTCTCAGAGGACACTTTAGTAAGTAGTACAGGATGTGAGCATCTCCGCGAAACCGAGGTTACCTAATTCAAATGTAGCTTTACGTGTGGAACTTATGCATGTACGAGGCATGTGCTGACCAAAAGGAGCATGTGCGAGTGGGTATGAGGTAATGCACGTGTGCAGGAGGAGAGTGCAGTAGCAGCAGAATAGTGGATGCGTGCAGCAGCGTGGGTGTGGGCTGAGCACCCTTTCCCCGGTGAAGCAGCCTCATCAAGTCTTGCAGCGTCCAGGGTCCTCTTTGCCTGCAGATTTATGCTGCTATGCCTCCACTCAAAGCCTATCATACAAAACTTTCCCTTCTGCTGATCAAAGCCAAGACTCTGAACGGTTAACAGACACTGAATAGATAAGAACGGGGAGGAAATGTTCTATATTAGGTCTTCAAACCAACTTGTTAAAGTAAAATTACATGTGACATTTGGAGGCAGTTTTTTTGTCATGGTGGAGGTTGAGCCATCGTCCTCTTGATAATGGGAGACCCGCACCAGGTTTTATTTCAGATTTTACAATCATTTCACATTTAAATTGATTTGACGGCTTTACCTGGTAAAGACGGGACGGTGGGTGAATGTAGGAAGGGAGAAAAAAAAAGCTTAAAATGAGCCAGGATTAAGCAAAAACAAAAAAAGATGGAAAGAAATCAAATATATAATCCGGTGAGTAAAATGATTCGGCTAGGGGAAAGAATTTTCTTCTTTTGAATTATTGAAGACTATTAAAATTTAAATGATTAAAAATGTCCTTTTAGAATTTCAGGAAGGACTGATGCCTCTTAAAGTAATTTTTTGCTTATTTGATGTCATATTCAGAATTAAAAAAAAAAAATTAAAAAAAATACTTTTCTCTCTAATATTGTTTATGTCTTCTGAAGGACTTTTGATATTCCAGAATTAAAACGCATAATCCTTCAGAAAAGCTACTTTTGTGTTTTACTAGTCAGTGTGTCTTCTAATCCAGTCCTCTCTAAATAAACTGTATTATCTTGGAATGGGTGCAGTTCCGAAGAGAGGGAGGGCACCTTTAACATCTTTATTCCATACCCAAATGCTCTCACTTCCTTAAATGTCCTTGACATCGAGGCCAGGTTCCTTTCATTCTCCCACTTCTGGCGTTTTTTGTGTCCCTGAACACTGACAGTCCCCTGAGACTGGAGGGAGGTGAATTAAAACGAATCGATACAGCGTGATTTCACACCAGTCAATTAGACCCATAGCTACATCTCCCTGTGTCCGTCATTTCTCTCAGATCCTGCTTCTTTAAGCTGCACAGCACTTCCTGATTCCTCTCTGCAATACATTTCCAGCAGTGGCTTTCCCACTCCTCCTTTACTTCATAATTATGAGGGGAAAACGCTACTTTTGGTTCCACACTGACCCCTGCACACACAAACAAGTACTACTCCAGCAACTGCCTTTGACTATTTGCTGAACCGATTCATCAAATTGTCAGAATTGTGCACACACAACTGAGTGAATTGGACACCACAAAACCATCATCTTCATTGTTATATCATGAGGTTAGAAAAAAAAAAAAAAAAGATTCATGCTTAAACTTCCCTTTGCAGCTGGTATAATTTAGCTCCATATACTGCTTTGTGTTGAAGCCCAAGCGGATTTTAGGCTTTACTGCGGTCCTAGCAGTGTGTGCGACAAGTACGCTCTCTTATCATTTCCCACAGTAACTACCCACTAATGATCAGTCCATGAGCGTGGGAACCAGAAACAAAGAATAAGGAGCAAAACAGTGAGAAGGAGAGACAGGAAAAACAGAAATAAAAGTTAATGAAAGCTCATAAATGGAACTACAAAGCAGATACCAATTAAGAAGCATAACGCGATGATAAAACAAAAACCCTTTTCTTTTGGTTTGTCACTGAAGAGAAAAAAATGTATTGTGATCAGACTGATTATTTTGTTCAATCTCCTTCTCCTTTTTGTGAGAAGCACTAAGTATCATTTTGTGTGGCAACAAAAAAATCATTCGTCTCTGCAAATCCCAACTAAATCCATCTTTCTTTCAGTATTGTTTGATTGTAACACCCAGAATTATGAATTCAAGATTAATTTAATCCAAAGAGGGAAGAAAAATTAACATGAATCACCAGTGCCACCTTTTTTTGTGTGACCTGTGTCATAGTTTAGACTTCGGCAGCATTATGTTTAAGGGAAAAATGACCAAACATTGGGAAGAGTTAGACATTTTCTCTCTGGTGTGAAGCTAAGAGACAGGAAACAAAGTTCCTCTGAACCTCTGCTGCCACCTGCAGGTAGAGTAAGTCAGTGCGCGTAAAATGATTAACAAAGGTGGTGACAATGTTCTCTGCGCCATTTCCATTTTCCCTTTGTGTAAAAGAGGTAAAACTACCGTCTGATAGGTTAGTTTGTCCTGCTCTAAAATGTAAAAGCAAAAGCAACTTCTTTAAACTGTGCTGATGTGTTTTTGTTCCATCAGACCACACAGCATAGAAGTCTCATCGGTTTAGGTCAGCATCAGTACCATTCGCTCTTAACAGCTCCAGAGCAGTGTGAGCGCATGAATATATTAATGATTCATTTTTCATTTTTCTTTAAGCTTAGCAGGCGGGGCACTTGCACACATCCAATATCCTGCTTTATATTCCCTCAGCAACAATAGCAAATCCAAGGCTTAGTCTCGAGCTGCTACATACAGCCCCTGCAATACTAATGGCTAAAAGTAAGAGGAAGAAACTCTGGACAGAGTAGCTCTCAGAAAAAAATTAACACCATCATACATAAGCAGTACTTCTAGCATGACCTAACGGAGGAGGCCATGAAAAGGTAAAATACATGTAAAGTATGAGAAAACAGGTCATTATAAAGAAAACAATATCCCAATATCTCTACGATTTGTAACCAAATGAGATGCAAGCACCTGGCTCATTTGATATTGAATACCTCAAAAATAAAATAACAAATTTTTGGTAAATGACAGACTGGGAAAATGGATTCTGAACCTGGTTTTGTGTTGATGATTGGTCAAACAGAGAAGTAATGGCTAACTGAGCCTAATCTAGAGTTGTGGTTTAAACATCTGTTTACACTCACACACTCAACACACAAAAAAAGAAGTCTTCCAGATCAGTATGTGTGCATGAAATATTGGTGTTGGGGCCAGGCATTAATCATTTGTCAGTTTCACGCTGGAGCTCCATCCGTCACCTCAGCCTCTCTAACAGCAGAGGGAGACAGATGATCGGTATTGTAAGCGTGTGTGTTCCTCAGACAGACTTACTGGTGACAGTGAGAACATTAGTCTTGACATCAGCGCTGATCTGGAGGCGACCCCTTCTCTCCGTGTGATCTGTCCCACACAGGCTCGGCACGTTGGCCACACAACGCTTGTGGATGTTCATCATACAGTCTGGAAAATACATCAAAAAGGAAAAACGTGCGATATCGTATCAGAATACAGCGTTTGAAAGGAATGTTCTTTTCTACCTTTCTACCAAGGCAAAATCTGGCGGGTATGCTTTGGACAAATATCTTTTGACGGATTAGAAAATGCCTGAGTGTAAATTTTAGACACTTGTTGGGTACGTACGGTCACATCTCATGCCCTGGTGTATGAGGCCGTACAGTAAAGAGCCACAGTGGTCACAGAAGGTGGGGCTGGAGTAGGTATGGATCTTAAACTTGTGCTTTGCCCTCGGATCCTGGAGAGGAAAACAGAGAGGACAGTAAACAAACCCTCCAACACCTATTTTTGTCACACATCCAACCCACTTTTCAAAAGACAAAACTGTCAAAACAACAAAGCAACTGCCTCACTGCAAACATCATTGGTATGCAATTTAAAAAAAAGAAGAGAGTAAATGTTTATGACAAGTTTTCCTCCTCTTCCATCTCTTTGACATTCATCTTTCACCATAACCATTCATATCAGTCTCTCGCTTTCCACTGCTGTGCACATTCTGTGGGGTAATAGAGCATTTCCAGGAAGTCTGACAGTGGGTGAATATAAGGGGCGTCAACACTGTAATCTGATCGAGATAAGTTTCTTCTGAATGTCTTTGTTCACATCAGTTTGGAAAGACTACAAAAGGAAGCTACCCACTGGGTCTGTGTGTTGATGTGTGTTTGAACATGTCTGCTAAAGTTTGGTGAAGCACCGCATGGAGTCGTTCGTTCCCTAGGCCTGAACGAGCCTAAGCAGTTTAACAAGTATGAACACTCTTACGTAAAACTACGCTTCCATCACTTCAGTGAACTTTACAGGTGAGTGTGTAAGCAGGTTTGCCCCAAATAAAACAGCAATCGAGCTACAAGCATTGGGTCTTGCACATATTCCTGTTATTAAACTATTCAGATGTTGGAAAAAGCAAAGCAGTAATATTTGTGTTTCCTGAGAGATTTAGCAGTGAAGGATGGTATAATCATTTTTTAAAATAGAAATGACTTTTTTCTTTCTGTTCAATCACTGCAATGCTTTAACTACATTTCAGTAACAGCAGTTAGAGGAAAACATGATATTGTTATTATATATTATTTCAGACCTTTTGGAGTTGGGTTTTTGCTCAGGACACTGAGCGTTGTGTTGAATTATTGATGTATGTTCTAACAGAGACTTGAGTTTATTGTTGCTCAATTCTATCAAACGGCTCGTAAGAGACATTTTGGTCTTTCTGCTAATAAGGGAAAGTTTGAATAGAGCAAAATGGTTCTTATGCGGAGGCAACAAAGAGAGATTGAAAACAAAAATGACCTTTTGTCACAAAACGTAAAGAAGCTGGCTGAGGATAAAAGGTGGAATAAATCTAACGGGAGACATCACGGAGTGTGTGATTTCCCTTCATGATGTGTGCGCTGCGGCTTTTCCATGAGCACTCTGAGCTGTGCAAAACAGACACTCAAATCTAAAATCAAATTCTAATCTATACTTCATTAGTGCCGCCTCATTATCACATTCTACACACCCAGAGCACAGCGGAAAGGCAAAAGCGTGGCTACACACACACAGTCAGATGTGGTGTGTTTTTTTCCCCCCACTGACGCTGATCAACTTAATTTGGGTTGACAGAAAACTCAATAATATATCTTTTTAAGGAACTGAAAGTCTGATTTGTGTCATGGGAGTTCCTGTGAGAGTGATACCGGCAGGAAAACACACCTGCATCTAAGCAGTGGGGCGGTAGCTGATAGGCTGTTTGGTATTTTAGCACACGCTCACACTAAGCCTGTCACATGGAGCCAGCGCGCCTAAATGCATCAGCTGAAGTCTTTCTGATCTATCACAGATCTCTTCCACAAGCGGGTGTTCTTTTCCTTACACCAGCCAGAACGAATTGGATTGCTTTCCTCCTGCCCTCCACACCTGTCCAGGCAAATGACGCACCCAGTGGCCGTTTCATTTCACCTAAAGGGGAACATTGTGCGGCTTCAACGAGTGCAGGGACCAACACCAGGGCTGGTGGGAGGGGGTGCCAGCCGCTTTGAGCAGTCCTGATTCAATATTTTCATCTTGCAAAATCTAATATGAATCAGAAACTAAGAGGTAGTAAGACAGAGGCATGAAAAAACATAAGAAAACATCATGCTAGTGCCTTTTTTCCCAAGTTTCCTTTGGTAGTTAAGTTGAATCAGATGTTAAATCATTTAACTTTTTTTTTTAAATGCTTAAGTTCAAGTTTGTATAAAGAAAACTATGCCCACTTTATTTCAAGAATATTAAACAAGTTGAATGAGGGTGTTGATAATCGTTTTTGATAGGACAAACGTTTGGTGTATTCAGAATTATCACTTTTAACGCAGGCTGATTTTGAGGATACAAAGGACAATATTAACTTCAACCTCTGTTGAACAACTGTATTGTGTTTTGTATATTTTATCACAACACCAACACTTCACGTCGGAGTGGAGAACATGCTGACATGTCCACTGTTTTGACTCCTTTTCTTGACGCTGTGCTTTCAGTCACTCTCTGCTTTTCTTTTGCTTTGGTTCAACCCTCTGCTGTCCATTATATTCCCTGCCAGCAGCATCAGTCATTCCCGCCAACACACAAATCACGCACAGATCCTGTCATGTCACTTGTGATGCAGTGTGACAGGCAGAAAGTGCGACGGGCTGGGTCCCTTTACATTCACTCACTTTGTCAGTGAAATTTAAAAGAAAGAAAAAAAGAAAAAAACAATTTCTTGTTGATTTTGCCCACGCTTTTCACAACTTTCTCTCACCAATGGATTTTACAAGACTCACACGAGACACTCCGCACAGCTTTACATGTTATGGAACTATGTTGTTTTTCATTTTGCTCCGTTCTGTGTGTGAACCATCTGCTGTATTGTGTGTGTGTGTGTTCATACAGTCTATTCCGAGTGTCTTCATTGTGATCTTCCATTCACATGCAGACTTCTCTCAGTTCTAAGGTCCAAACTAGGACTAGGACTAGCACAGGTAAACGAAATCTAGGATTATCAACAAAACGACTACACACTGTTATCCAGACTGAATGAAAAGATCGTCTTGCTGACCAGCAAACTGCCAAACACCTGCTTTAACAGAGATGTGAACACTTTCTTGTGAACAATTAATCATGTACATTTGATTTGTGTCACTTGGCTGCGACATGTCCTCTTTTGAAAGCTGATTAATTAAGTTAGTTAATCCCTTTGAAACGATTGACTAACAAGGATTTAGTCAGTTTACCACAACGTGCCACGCCATTTTTATTACATGAAAAAGGATGGATTGCTGTGTTTTTTTTGTTGAATCCATGGAACCCAATACATATGAATTTGGAGGCGTATCCAAACTTTAGAGTATTACACAGAACTGAATTCGCATTTCTGCTCATAAAACAGTCCCACGTCCTTCCAGGATTTTAATAAACAACAATAGAGAAATATAAAAGTACTCCATCATTCGCCCTACCTAACCATCGTCTTGTCTTCTACATTAATTATCAGTTTGGAGCATTTTTTTCTACCCGCAAACACACGTGTGTGTACGAGGTCCACACACACCGAGTTCTATAGCATTAACAGCCTGTGAGCCTGAAATGTAGGTTTCATTAGAGGATTTCATCCCTCGACCTCTCCCACAGGGAACCCATTCTATTAACCCAGATCTATAATTGAATTCTTCTTTTAAACATATATGGCTGACAGAGGAAAAGAGAGGGTAGAGTTATAATAGGAACCAATGGGCTGCAGACGAAGAGACAACAAAACTAATAACACAAAGAGTCCTCACAGCTTCTGTCTCCTTCTGCCGCTGTCTGACAACATATATTCAGAGCCACAACGCAAAACATACACTCCGACAATCCACACCCCCGCCCCTCCTCCCCACATCTGCCTTCTGCCACAAAAAGACTAAATAAAAGCAACAGTAGAAAAACTCTGAGTTTTCTCAGTCTAAACACTGAGGGTTACTTTGCAAATGTGGCTCTTTTCTTAAATCCAAACCTCCTGTTTTTCCCGTCTTCTATATTTAAATGAGCCACTCCTTTGGCGCAGAGCTACCCATCATCCCCGCTGTGCAGGGGCTGAGGTCGTAAGGCCGTGAACTCATTAAGGAAATGACATAGTGGGGGCGGCGAGGGCCCGTAATTAAGAGCAGGGCCCCCCCTGGGCAGAGTGGCATTTAAATAGAGGATGTACAGAACTGAGCCGATTTAGAGGGAGACACCGGGTGAGATATTCAGGGAAGAGGAGAGTTGCAGGAATTCCAAATATAGAAATATAGACAAGTGTCAGGGAAGAAGAGGCGGCCTTCAGAAAATAGGCAATCATAGAGATTCTGAGTGACACTCGAAGATAGGGAGAAAAAAAAAAACGCTGCTTTCCATCAAACTAGCTGAAGAAAAAGTGGAGCATAGGCTTAGAATAATTCTCTAACTGGTTGTTAAAAGAGATATTGATGAACATGCATGGAAAAATGTTATCTTAAATCAAGCAGAGTGACCCAAAGAGGGACATCTTATGGGACACATTTTAGGGGACATCTTCTGTCCTTCTAGGAAAAAAGAAAAAAAAGATAAAAGTAAAGGATTGATAGGTGTATTTGTATACCCCGCTAGGCCGTTAAAACAGAGGTTGTTTAAGAGAAGATGGGGGGGGGGACTGAGCTGTTTGTTCGACATAAAATAAGCATAGTACAGCACAGGCTTATCAGTCAGGAATCCAAGCAGCGTTTCCATTTGAGGTGGCTCACTGAGTTTGCCTGTCAAACCGACAGAGCACCGCAGAGGGAGGAAAAGACGTCAGAGGAACTTAAAGAAAGGTGTTTCGAAGGGGGTGAAGAGCTTGTTTTCTCTCTCGTATAAGTTAGAGGTGTGGGTTCGGGTTTTTAAGGGTATCAAATCAAACGAAAGCTGCCGTCTGTAAATTCATTGACAAAGTAACAATATCTCGCTTTCTGCTTTTTTTTCCGCATTGAAGACATTGAAGAATGAAAGTATTAGATCAGAACTCCTTCCAGCCAACACTGTGAAGTTTAAAAAGGTGGCAGCCAATCACATAGAAAGAACAAACAAGATCACCTGGGCTTGAACAGAGAGAAACATATATATGTCAGTAAGAAACCCATGTGCTTTGTTACAGGATGACTGTCGAGACAGAAGAAGAAGAAGAAGAGGAAGAAGAAGAAGAAAAGACAAGAACAGCGTGCCTGTAGCAGAGCTGGGGATAGCTGGAGAAGGCTCGGGAACAGCCTCAGTCTCTTTCAGCCATTCTCAGGTTTAGGAGCTCTATGATGAATGATTGGGTACTCACATCTGAGGCCGGTCCTTTATCAGCGCCTGGACAGGAGAAAGTGACGAACTCATGGCAACGCTTGTGAACCACGAAACAGCAGACTGTGGAGAGAACAGAGGAGAGGAGTCCACAGTGTCACGACCCTGTTCTTTCATCTCCAACACAGAGAACATGTATCCATTGCACAGAAAATGTAAATTTGTAAAAAAAAACTTTTACTGAAGGTAACTAAAACCATGCGTGGATGAGGGTTCTGATATCCCGCCAGCCTCAAACTGTCCTTAATGTTGCCAAATGGAGCCGAATCAGGCTGGCAGTGGTACATGTGGCAGACTGGGCTCCTTTTGGTATTAAACATAGTAATTCATCAGGCGGAGAACAATGAGCATCAAGGCAAATTCGACCTGAAGAGATGAACCGTATGTGCTGAGAATTGACCTTTAATGGATCAAACAGTGTGAGACGTTTGATGAATTAACCACTTTTAATTAAATCACCAGACATTTTTTTGGTCACAGGAATATAATCAGCATGTGCCGTCTGTCAGCATCAGAGAAATATCCCAGTTTCTGAATGAAGATCTATTTTGCACCGTACTTTGGAGCAAATCATTGGTAACCAAAACACAACAATATCTGCAAGGCCCAGAAATCTTATTTCGGGTAACTAATGATCCTGGTAGAAGTCTGATTGTAGGGAGAAAGTTGTAGATCGACATGTTTGTTAGAGCTGTCTTGGAAAGCATGATGTGATGTTTGAGTTGGAGTGCTGCTGTCTAAAATAAGATTGTTTGTTCTTCTCCAAATAATCCTCACTTTGTCTGCTCGGGCCTTTCAGATGACTTCTGAAGGCGGGGGGGATGCTGAAGTCATGGCTGGGCGTGCCAGAAATAAAGCTCAACACTGCTGTTTCTATAATCTGCCTTTCAAGCCATCTTCATGTCAGTGAACTGGGAAGTCCAATATCAGAAGATCCTTTTGCTGAAAGAAGAAAGATGGCCTCCCTTTTGAAGAGAGACTTACTGAGGAAACCATGGAGTTAATTTATCTTAGCTCTACCTCTGTCTTCCAATACTCTCTTTGAAAATTAAAATGGTTAACCAGGTGTGATTAGATGTGCCTGTACTTTTCTTCCTTTCATAGTCATTGGACTTGGTACCGGTCGCACAATGCCGTGCTACACAACAGAAACCAAGTATAAAGAAAAGGCTGGGATGAAGAAATTAACTTCAAGTTGTCAGTGGCTCACGTAATAACACGCTAAGTCCAGTCTTTCAGCAGAATCCTTCCTGAAGCTGAGTTACAGTGCAGCACTAACACACAGCGTTTCACCCACAAAGACCTCCAGCATCGGGAAATAAAGAGAGATCCTGCGCCTTCATATTAACACCTACACTTTCAAACTGTCGCTGTTGCACCGTTGACTCTTAAGAGCCTTCATAATGTATAAGATACAATGTAAAATATAACCCCATACTTTTGTTGCAGTGTGCTCCATAATGTCCTCTTAATAAGAGATAATTGATGCTTTATCCTCAGCAAAGTACTGATTTGCTGCGAATAAGAACACAAATCAAACCTTACTTTTGCAGTGGCAACTTCAAATGAAAAGCGTAACAGGGTTCCTCTTTTCAGGTTACTAGCAATCAGCAGTGCAGAAACATGTGAAAGCTTTGATGCACAAGCCCGCCATCACCCCCCTTATCAATGTCAGAACAACTGACAGGCAAGACAAACGGAGGAGGTTAAAAATATCACAAACAGTCTCTGTGATTAGGCCCCGGAGTCCATAGCAGGTAACCCAAATCAAAGACACAAAGATTAAATGAATGTGAATAAATACATCAAATTTGTTTAGATATGATTTCAGATCACATGTGATGAGGACACATGTGCTAGGAAAAGGTTCACGCTAGCACATGAAGTGCTATAAGAGAAAACAGAAAATATATTCATCATCATCCAACAGTTGAGTGTCAATTATTTTTGCCCTTTACAAAAATATGTTTTTTGTGGTCTGTTAAAGGCCAGTAAAGAGAGACAAAAAATGACTAAATCTGAGAACTAATACAAAAATAACATAGATGTATACAGAAATAAATAAATGAATAATAAATACAACTTAAAAAAAGAAAATATGAAGACAAAAAACAAAAAAATGACAAAGCATTTTGGTCTCACTTTAATATGATTTTATTTATTTATTGATCTATTATACACACAAACACACCTGTATTTAAACATTTATTTATTAAATTTACGTAATTCTATCCTGCCAATTCTTTGTAGTTTTCTTTTATTTTGTAATTCAAGTCAACTCCATCCTTTCTTTTTTTCCCCATTTTGCTCTGAGCTACTCTGGGAGAGAATTTTATTGTGTATTTTCTGTTTATCACCTGTGTTGCACCTGAGGACTATTTAATTCCTTTTTTTTTTCTCTTTTATACCATCCACTAATCCATCCATTTCTGAACAAATTCCAAAGCAGATGTATACAGTTCCTTCCTACTTTTTTGTTTTTTTAAATCGTCAACATTCTAATGACCCGTATCATTTTAAAAACTTACATTTCATATGTGTATGCAATGTTTAATGTGACTATAAACTAAATGTCTCTGGATTTTTGTACATTTGCTTTGTTGACTGAAAAGAGAACAAAAGTCTATCTGTAATTACTATAAAATTATTAATAAAAAATTATTATAAAAATGTATAACTTGCTCTCTCTCTCCTGGTCCTGGTTCCCCCGGGACTTGAACCCAGAACCTTCTTGCTACGTGGCAATGGTGCTATATATATATATAAATAAATATAAATGAAACAACTTAGACCACACTTACCACATATTGGTTTACTAAATATCTTTGCATAACATCACTCATTTAAGTTAGTAGTTACATAAGCAGGGAAACTGGTAACACCTTTTTTTTTATAGAAGTCACAGGGGTCTGTTTTATCCTTCTCAGCACAGTAAAAATGTGGTTTTAGCATTTCTAAAATGTGTTGGATAATTTCACCATTAGCAGTCACTTCCAGTGTGTCATTTACATATTTAGAGGCCAGTTAGTTCACCACCTTCTGATAAATTCTTATATACTGGTAAGCGTGCTCTGACCGGAGGGGTTATAATTAACACGAAAACACTTTCTCCAGCACACATATCAATCATGTGCACCTCAATGGTACTTCTCTCCCCCGCAATATCCTCTCTCTGGTTACACCACCCACTCACTGCAATGATACAGTACTGTACGCACACACACGCATACACAAAGACCACCTACTCATTCCAGTGATATTGCAGATTGAATACAGGGAGAGCGGATGGAGGGATGGAGTAGTGATAGGAATGGTGTGAGCTGTATGCACATATTGCTACAAGGCAACTGCTCTTTTGGAGTATTTCCACTGACAATTCCCTAACTGAAACGCATAATGATCTAAAGTAAAAATATCATTCTACACTGCTCAGCGATACGACCCTGGGGCCCCAAACAAATGACATCTCTTTACAAAAATAGCGTTAGTCTCCTTTCAACCTAAATTAATCAGTAATTAACTCCAGTTTACTACAAATCGATTCCTTTGACAGTATGCCTCTTAGATGCAGATGAGATGACGTAATCTCACGCTATTAGAGCGGCTCAACTTTCGAGATGGGAGAGGGGGAACCTCAGAAAGCAGAAGTACAAAACGGTACACAGTGCACCTGTCTTCATAGCTGGCAGCTCGCAGCTCTTTTCCATTGAGGTGCAATGTGGTTTCGTTTGTCTTTTAACCACTTCCCAGCTGATATAAAAGATTCACAGCCACTTAGTGACTGAGAAGCAATGAACCCACAGATTTCCTTTGGAAACATGAGAGTGTTTTCATTTAGCTCTTTACACTGATGGACAGCAGTGGAAAAAACTTGAACCATCGTTGTTGGACCAATTCTAATTAGTTATCAGGTAAGCAAAAGACAAACAGGTTTGTAGGTTTGTATTCAAAATCAGCACGTTAATTTCTACCTGGTGGAAAAACTGTGCTGATCTAATCTGATGCTGAATAATGCGTCAAACACAGAATACTAATACCAGCGTAGCCCGGCCAGAAATAAAGGAGTAAACTTCATGTGCTGCATAAACTTTGGGCCTTTCCGGAAGTATATATCTTTGTTGTGGAGGGGGCGTGGCGCTCAGCTGCAGGGGGGAGGGGTGGAGAAGGCTCAGGTGAGCAGTGCCAGGGGAGATGATTAGGCACACCTGGAACCGGTTGACTAATCACTCTCCCCTCTGTAAAAAGAGTAGTGTGCTGGACCTGGGGGGGACTGGTTTTGGAGAGAGCTGGAGCAGGACCCGTCACCAGCTCGGGACGGAACGAAACGACCCATCAACAAACGAGCCTTAGCCGGGCGTGCGTGAGTGTGTGCGTGTGTGGGAGAGTGTGTGTGCGGGTGGCACATACACTCGAAATAAAACCGTCTGAACCAACAAAACTCTGGTCAAGAGACTCTGTCGGGGCACCCACGGTGACACGACTGTCACATTTGTATTTACATGTTACGCAGAATGATAGGAATACGATTTCTCCATAACCTTCAGAGTTTGTTTAAGCTGATAAGTTCTAAAGCAGAAACTTTACTCAAAACTTTACTTTATTTACCTGAACAGAACCACATTTAGTTAAATAGATGAACAACACCGCATCGGCCAGGTATTAAACTCCAGTCCTGGAGAGCCGCTGCCCTGCAGGGCTCAGTTGCTTCAACCCACCTGATTCACATAAACGCACATTAGCAGGCTTGTGCAGAGCCCTCAAGGACCAGAGGTGAACATCTCTGTAATACACATCCTTAAATTATCCATAAATTATAAACTTTTACCTACTTTGCCTCAAATATTTCTCATGTTGTTTTAGGGGGTCTTCATTGAGGACATTATAAAAAAACTCTGGCATTTTTCTATTGTTTATTGATCAAATCTGGAGAAAGTTTAAAAATCCTGCGATATAAAAGGGAGGAATATGTTCCTTAAACATCATATCCAGTAACATAAACATCCTGGTATGTTATATCAGGAATGGCAAATGTGTTGTTCACCTCATTAGAACCAACATCCAGC